GAGAGAGAGAGAGAGAGAGAGAGAAAGAGAGAGAGAGATTGAGATTTTTTTTTGTTTGTAAGTAAACTGTGCAGTTCTTGAACATGAATTCTGTAGATGATAAAGTCATTTTTCACGGCTGGACATGCCTGGTAGATGAACAATTCTCAAGCTAGTTGGTGGTGTTAGGATCCTTTATATAGTTAAAAATCAAGAACCTTAAAGAACTTTTGTTTATGTGATTTTCTTCTATCAATATTTACTATGTTAAAAATTAAGCCTGAAAAATTGGAGAAAATATTCCTGTATTAATTCATTTTACAATTATAATGGAAAATTCATTATATGCTAACCTAAGATATTTTTAGTAAAACACACATACACACACACACACACACACACACACACACACACACATTCATTTCCTTCCCTAAGAGAGGTGGTTTTGTGAGATTTTGTTAACTGCTTCTGAATTCAGTTAGTTGTGATATGCTGCTGTTTTAACTGAAGCACAGATCTATTCTCACACAGTTACACAACTGGAAAAGGGAGGAATATACTTTCAACTTTTCCAGGTAGTTGTGGATATCCTTGTGTGCCTGCACACATGTGTATGTGTGTGTGTGTGTGTTGTTTGTTATATGTTCAAGCTCACGTGGATGTGTGTACAGAGATCAGAAGTTAACACAGGGCGTCTTCCTCAATTATTTTTACACATTTTTTTGATATGGGGACTCTCGCTGAACCTGAAGCTAACCAGTTGAATAGACTGTCTGGTTAGTGAGCGACAGGGCTCCTCCTGTCCCTGCCCCCCTAGTGCTAGGATTATCTTTATTGTCCATTTTTAACATAGGTTCTAGGGATTGAACTCAGGTCCTCATGTTTACATGACAAGCACTGACTCAGCTATATCTCCAGCCCCTGAGGTTTTTTTTTAATTCTAAATTAAAACTTGGTAAATGATAATTCCTTAAAGATTGGATACGAAATAGAATCTGAAATCATATCCGTATGCTTTCCATGGTTTCTTCATTGATGGGGATGTGACTGTCAAAAGGGAGGCACTACTTGCAGTATTATGAGAGCAATTTTGACCTTGTTGACTCTTGGAAGGAGTGTAAAGGCCATTCAGGGCTTCTGGACCAGACTTGAAGAAACACTGGCTTAGAGTCTCCTTTTCTTGAAACATCAATAATAGCATGCCTTTCTAACCATACAACCAGTACAATTGGCAAGTCATACTAGCATGTAGCTGATCAGAGAGACAAAGAACAACAAAAACATATAGAGAAAGTAATCACGCTTTTGTCAGAACTCACAGTGAGACACTGACGCACTATCTGCTCTTCAGCATTAGCATTAAGAGTGAGCATACCAAGAGCAGGAATCTGTGCTTCAGGTGTTTGTTTGGCTGAATGCATCCATACTGTGGTCCTTCATTGTAGATTGTCCCCGTAGGATCAAAGAAAGGCACATAGCCATCCTTGCCAGTACAAAGATAGACTTTCTCCAGCTGGAGTTTGTAAGCAGAATTAAGGTTTTGTTCTGGATTCCAAAGGACTCGGCCATAAAGGATCTGACCTGGAAAGATTGAAAGACATCAACTAGGTCAGACTTCAAGGTTAAAGAAAAAGAAATGCCAAGGACAGAAAGGATTTAACACACTTCTTCAGAGTCAAAAGTACCTTTCTATGAAGACCTTGGATTCCCCGTGTCCCTAAAATACACACTCATTGTATATTGTTTTTCTAATCCATTAATACTACTGAAGTATTTATGATATGCCAACTAGTCAGCTGCACACAGGGGACACAGAAGTAAACAAGATGGCAGATAAGCAGACAGGAATGAGTAAACTGATTAACATCTATTGATAAATTTATCAAATTCAGGATTTACTATATACTACATTGTTTTCTCATGTGATAAAACTCATGTGGTACTCACAGTCTCATAGCCTTGGAAACTGAGGCACTGAGTAACTAAATGAGTTCATGAAAATCACCAAGGTAGCAAGTGGTAAAGACGGGATTTAGAGCTAAGGTACTTTGGCTCTGTACCTCACACTATTAACATGTACAATACTGTATCATCCCCTCCTCCAACGCAGGAAGGTCCATCATGTTAAATCTGCCTGCGGAGAGACAGGGATGGGTCTGAGGAAAGATGATGTTCGAGAAACATGAGCGGGCATTTGTCAGAACATTCGAGGGAGAGGGCAGAAAGAGCATTCCAGGCAAAACAAACTCCATGTAAAAATGCTGAATGTGGGGTGTGTGTGAGCCCTAGTGCCGGCACTGCTTCATCTGCTAACCATCTTATTTAATCCTTCCAAGAGCCCAAAAGATAGGCTCAATTATTATGCCCTTAAGTAATTCATGCCAGGGTCTACAGCACTGATGGTACAGCTATAAACCAGTGGTGGTACTGAATTTGGAGATGAGACAACTTACCCAGGTTAGAATCAGATTGGAAACACCTGTCCTCTTACCACCCAGAACAGTGCTCTTCCATGGTGCTACAGTGCCAATCACTGCAGTCCCTAGGCTATGCTATGTTTTATAACACGAGGGAAGAAGGTGAGTCTTTTCCTTAATTCTGCTTTGGCTTCCCTAGAACCAAAGTCTGGGACGTCTTCACTGTGGAGCTAGCTGACTGAGGTCCCATGGGCAGAAATGTGTCCAGCCCAGGAACTCACCCAGACGAGTCTCATATCCTGACAGGATCTCTTCCTGAATCTAGAGGAAGCAACCCACCTTTGGAAAAGGCTCCTTTGTAATCCATTTCTGCCAGTGACATATCAGATGTGTTGGGATCCATCAGGAAGACCTTCTCATTATTACAGAGCTGAAATTCAGTATTGAGTGAATACACAACAGGCACAGGGCGGTTGGTCTGCTGGAATGCAATGGGAATCAGGAACCTAAAGGTAGGAGAAATGAGTGTTCCTTGAGGCCACAGTCAATTTCGCATGTGTCATTTGAGCTGTCCTCCCTACTTGCCTTTCTTGAGACTGCACAGAACTTTGTTGTGTGCACTGAATAATTACCGTGTATATGTAGGGGATAATGGCCTCATTCGATCCTTATGAAGTTAATCTGCTCTTTTATTTATTTTTAATTCTTGAGACAGTGTCCCATGTGATTGAGGATAGCCTTGAACCTCCTAATTTCCTCTTCCTCTACTACACAAGTGCTAAGATTCCTGGCATGCACAACCATACCCAGTTTATGTGGTGCTAAGGATCCAATCAAGGTCCTTGTGCATAATAGGCAAGCCAACTGAGTCACAACCCCAACCTCAGCCTAGTCTGGTCTTTTGAACAGGGACAATTTACTCTTTGGATCTCTTTGGTACCCGTTGCCTTTTTTTCCCCCAAAGAAACTTTTTGTGTGTTTGTTTTGGTGTTTATTTATCTGTGTGGTGTATGCAGGTGTGTGTGGGGGTGGGGGGTAGAGTGCATGCAACTATGCACACATGTGTGAAGGCCAGAAATTGATGTTTGGTGTCTTCTTCAATCACTCTGTACCTTTGATTTTTAAGAAAGGGTCTCTCGGTGAACCTGGAGCTTGCTGATTGGCTAGACTGGCTGGCTAACAAGAAGCACCTTATCCCCTGAGCCATCTTACCAGCCCCCTAAAGTTGCTCTTTCATTGCACACAACTAAAAATAAAACAAAGAAAAACAGAAGTAATAAGCTAAATGCATGGTCAAATTGTAGGCTGGTGCTATAACACATACATACTGTAACACAGAAACCACTACTGACAGCTACACGAATCAATACAAAGGAATCAACAATGACTCAATAAATGACAATAAAAATAATAAATAATGGAGCAAAGAGAATTTGCACAGCATGAACGCTGTTTTATACAGAGGTGAAAATATGGAAAACCATTAGAAACAGACATAAAGTAAAATCATAAACTGAACCAGGAATGTAGGAAGAAATATCAAGCTATAGGGTCATCTTAGTGGAAAGGAAGGAGGAAATTACAACTAGACAGGGCCACTGCAGGTATCTAGACATTGTCAGTCAGCATAGCAAGGTAGTACATGTCTGTAAGCCCAGCACTTAGGAAGTTTAAGCAGGAAGACTAGGGATTCATGTCCAGTCTGGGTTACACAGAGAGTTCAAGTTCAATTGTGACTATATAGCAAGACCCTGTCTCAAAAACAAAACAGAAAAAATATCTCCCAAATAAATAAAATTAAACTCCCAAAGCACTGGTAATGTTCTGTTTCTTAAGATGCATGCTAAATGCACATTTGTTATATATCTTCTGAATATTTGAAGCATTTTATAATTTAAAAAATTTAATGTAGAATAACATTCTTGAGCATATCCCAACATATTGCTTGCTCTGTTCTTTGTGATTTTCCTGGTTACCATCCCTCCTATATCCTGGTTGACTGGGACCTCTGTTTTGTCCGAGTTCCCTGGTCACCATCCTTCCTGTATTCCTGTATGTGTCTGATTGTGATGGCCTCTCAATCTCTCTCTCTCTCTCTCTCTCTCTCATTGTTTCTACCATCAATCCTGGCAGCTCAACTCCAGACAGAAAAACCATCCAACCTCCACCTCCTTGTCCCTTGATTTCCTTACCTCCAAAGGGCTTGCTCTGCACCCAGCTGTAGCTGCCGACACTCCGTATTGCTACTGTGCACAAGCCCCCCACCTCAGCCCCCCACCTCACCTTTCTGCCTCCCATCTTTTCAGCTTCTCTCTTCTTTACCACCCCTTTAAGCCTTCAGCCACGGTAAGCACTTCCTGACAACTTTTAACCAGGATGCAAGGGGCCTAGAACACTTACAGGGTTGTGGTAGAAATGTTCACACAGAATTACCTATTTACAAACACTTAGAAAAATAGCTTGCCAATTTCTTAAGTTAAACATACACCTACCATCTGATCTAGACATTATATTCCTAGGTATTTACACAAGAAAACATGTGCTCACGCAAGGCATATTCAGAGCAAGTTTATTTAAAACAGCTCCAAACTGGAAAGAGCCTACATGCCCATCAGATGAATGATAGATTGTTATTTCCGTACCATGGACTACAACTCAGCAATAATAGAAACAAACTATTTATTCAATAACACGGATGAATCCAATAACCATGCCAAGTGCAATGAGCGAGAGAAAAGCAACTCAGATTGGATGATGTCATTTACATAAAGCTCTAGAAAATGCAAATTTCTCCTGGTGACAGAGAGCAGATGAGGGGACACCTGGAGAAGGGGTTGGGGTGGGAGAGGCCACAAAGAAGTTTGAGGAGACTTCCGGAGGAAATGGGTATGTTTATTGTCTTGATTGCAGTGATGTTCCATGAGTATATGTATATGTCAGTATTTATTAAATGTATACTTTCATATCTGCAGTATGTTGACTATCAGTAACACAGCAATTGAACAGCAACTCAGCCTGCCTCTGCCTGCCTGCCCTGCTGTGCTCATTTCCCCCCTTTCCCTCAGACCTCAGTGTTCCTCTGGCTTCTGGCCAGTGCCTTGCTTTTCATTTCAAGGAGAAAGCAGATTCAGTCAGATATCTATCTTGTCTGCCCTACTTGTCCATTTTACTAACTCGCACCTCTTTACAACCCATAGGCTCTGCCCGTCTTCCTCCTTCAGTGGATAAATGGTCTGGGCTTCACGTTCCTCAAGAACCTGCCTATCCCATGCATCGTCAGATCTCTCTTCCACTGAAGTGCTTGTAAAGTATAGCTAAATAAATCCTCTTCTTAATTTGGTCTCCCATTGTTACAAGTTGGTGTTCCATTTCTCTGATGTCTTTTTAGAAAAACTCCTTATCTGTGCTGTTCCTGCTTGCTTACCTCTCTCTTGAATTCTCTCCAGCAGCCTAGTACCCCCTCCAGCCCATCAACCTGCTCATCAATGAGCTCAGTATTACCAAGTCTAAAGGCCAATTCCCAGGCTTTTAAAGTCAAAGTAACACTTCCGATAGTTCTTTCTTAATGTCTTCTGTCTTTATCATCTTCTCTCAATGCTTTCTTTGTACTCTGCTTAGTTCTGAGAAAGGAGACACTGGACTATAAACTGCCTGAGGTCTGGGTGACTTTTAATTCACTGCTCTAACATAATGTCACTACCTCAGTGTTCAGCCAGGGCCAAGCACTTGAGAAGATCTGAAGGAACGATAACTGAATGAAGGACTATAAGGCACAGTGTAGACAGTCTCCGGCCTGAGGTAGGTATGAGCTAGTGTATCTGGTTCTTCACAGCAGTTTGATTCTATAAAGTCTCCACAGACATTGAATTGGTGAATACTGGACCACTCAGAGATACAGAATTGGACTTCTGTGAATCTGTGATTATTTGGTCACCACATTTCACCAACAGGTGTATTCCTGTTTAATAACCCCATTATTTAATATACATTATTGATTCATCAACACTGAACTAACTCATGGTCAACAGCACTATAACTCAAGCCTGCATGAAGCTTATCTAACTCTCCATAGGGCACATTATGACCTTCCTGTGCTTAGTAGTAGTAGAAAACACTTTAGTGCTATACTTAGGAGTCATTTAAAGTCACAAAACCACCAATAAAATGCACAGAAATGTGAAAACTTGGCATTAAATAGACCACGAAGAATCAGCGCTTGTACTATGAGAACGGAAATAAGAAGGCAGAGCATTTAGCCTCAGCTGGAGCTGTGCCTGTTGGACAATTCAAAATTTTCTTATGTTTCTGAATGACTACAAAAGCACTATGGGTACTGGTTTAGGGATTACAAATACATTTTAGTGAGTAGGAAAATTCTTAAATAAAGAAACCGCAGCCAGTGAAAAATCACCTATATTGCCCTACCTTTCTGGAGCATGTGCCGTGCAAGCCAAAGACTTCTCTCCTGGGTCCACCCATGGCTGCGTGGGCTGCACAGTGCAAGGAATTAGGTAGATGGTATATTCCCCCGAGTAGTCCTTCCTGAAAACAGGCAGAGCAGACTGTGGTCACAGCATGACTGATCCCCCAAAAGGCACTGATTTCTTTAACCAGGCCTCAGCTGGCATCTGTGCACTGCATCCAAGAACCTGACAATTCTATAAGCACCACTCTCAGGAATTCATCTCTGATTATTCTGACCTTCAGAGCACTATCTCGAGGTGTTAGAAAAACACTTTCATTTATTCAAGTCCCTTTCATGAGGAAAGCTGAGAAAGGCAGAGTGTTTATAAAAACCTAAAAGGCTCAGGTGATGACAGAGATGGTTGTTTCTTTGAGATTTCATGAAATTTGTTTGACAATTTGGTTAGTATTTCTTGTCAAATAACACCCTGTTCAACACATTCTCAAATGCAAGACCTTCAACCTATTAGAATATGACTATATCAGGTGTTTTTCTTAAGAGGAGGAGGAAAATTCCTCAGGGTCATAGAGCATCTCTGGGGCAGAGTGGAAGCAGAGCCCTTGCAACCCCCACCTCCCTTCCACCAGCACCGGGTTTCACTGTTTCCCTTCCAGACTCTACAGCTTCATTCCCTTACAACCATTCCCCTCCGAGATGCCACGACCTCATTCCTTTACAAAGTTTGAAGAACACTACATATTCTTCTCACTGGTGGTTATTTGATGGGAATTGCTGTGCTTGTGGTAAGACACAAGATTCTCTAGGCCTTTGTTTCCATCACCAACTACGTTCTCCACACTTATTACTAGACAGCATTCCTCAGCCCTGGCAGGTTACATGGAAGGCAAGAAAACATTCAGAAACTTCAGGAAGATTCTTCGAGTATCTATGTACCAAGCTGTTGAAACTGAAGCCTTTTTAGATCAATCCTTAGGAGCTTCGATCACTATCTTTACCTGTTATAAGAGCTCGTGGCTCTCCAGAGTTGATATGGAGAATCAAAAGTCTGGGCACTCCACAGGAGCTGTAGGTCAAATTCAATTCCTCCTAGGTGGTCTGGAGTCAAGATGAAAGACTTCACATCTGGGAGAGTGTGGTGCTCCATCACAAACTGTCCTGTTTCGGAGGGAAACACATTCTTATTTGTGTTCATTGTACTTATGCTGAATTCCTTTCTAAGGCCTAAGGACTGAATTAATGTTCTTCTAGCAAACAATAAAGGTTTTACACACACACACACACACACACACACACACACACCCTTTTACCCCCTATTCACAATGGTTGAGACGTTGAGACAAGGTGAAGGGGTCCCTCCCCCATACTCCTCACACACACACACACACACACACACACACACACACACACACACACACCCTTTTACCCCCTAAAACATATTTCACAATGGTTGAGACAGCACCACATCCTACCCAGCCCAGCCCAGCCCATCACTCTTCTCATCAAGGCCATTATAGTCATATGATACATGTGTAAACAGTGTGAACACAACTTATGGAAATGTGCTGAGCTCAGATACAATCCCAGGGACAACAAACACTGAATATACTTAGTTTTGAATTCCAACCAAGCTATTTTTGGGTCTTAGTATTTTGTACATAGAAATATCAATGTGGGATAAAAATCACATCAGGGCCCACTCAAATCTTTGGTGAAAGGGGACAGCTGTAAATATCACTAAAAGGGTAAAGGTATTGAACAAGGTTCTAATCTTTCAACTTCTCTGAATGCTTAACATATTTATTAATAAAAAAATTAGGGAAAATAGAAACTACCTCTGAATTTGGCATGGGTCTTAAATTTAATCAGTCTTTAAAGTTCAGTATCAGGGTATGAAGTGTTAAAGTAGATGGACTATTCTGGTGGGGAAAATCTAAAGAGATAACAACCAACATGTGAAGCTTGACTGGATGCACTTTTCTTTATCTGATAGGTATTAAGTAAATATAATAGACAGAAAAGCACAAAGACGTTTGTGAGATAGGAGACAGTGTGCCCAGGGACTGGATGTTATTCATTGTTAAATACATTGGTTATGAAATGGTACTGTGGCTTTGTAAGGCGTCCTTGTTCTTAGCAGGTGATGTCTACCGAAGTATTCTGAGTAATGTACATGAAGATAATAATTTGTTTTCAAATGCTGTGATCTTAAAGTATGTTCATATATACAGAGCAACTGTTGACTGTCTTTTTCATTGTTCTAATCTTTCAACTTCTCTGAATGCTTAACATATTTATTAACAAAAAATTACAGAAAATAGAAACTACCTCTGAATTTGGCATGGGTCTTGAATTCAATCACAAGACGGCCATCCTCACGAATATAGATCCTTATTATCTGGAGCCTTGCAGAGAGCACGCTGTCTGTCTGGATTCCTGGACAAGCAACCATACACAGAACATTAAAGTTAGGGTATGGAGACAACCTCTCGTCAGTGACCTCCCTGGACATTGTCCTAGAGACATCTCTAAGAAGAGCCCAGCATTATGTCAATGTAACGTAAGAGAAAAGTTATATATCCACATGAACTCTGACTACAGAGATGAACGCCAATTAAAATGGTGCAGCAACTCATTCTTCTTGGTTCAGTTTTCTCCAGGCCCACTGTCCTTGATGGGGGCTCTTTATATATGTAGGTAACATTTGGTACAGATGCAGGTTTATTCCATAACTCAAGTAGATTTAAAACTTCCTCCCATTAGCCTTTACATTGCGTCTGTGTCATACCATGTTTTCTTTTCCTTTCAGGACCTAACAGAGTCTTATGTCCTGACAGCTATATTTAAAACTCCATGGAGATTAAAGTGAGCTTTGTAGAAGGTCAGATGTATGAGCCTGGTGAGTTAGCAGAGGGTCTAGAAGAGGCAGCTGCAAGCTTGATGATGCCCAATGCATTGGGCATCAGAATGACCTAAAATAAAATGTAATCAATGGGGCTGGAGAGATGGCTCAGTAGTTAAGAGCACTGGCTGCTCTTGCAGACCTGGGTTTGGTTCCCAGCACCCACATGCAGATAACAACTGTCCATAACTCCAATTCCAGGGCATACAATACCCTCTTCTGACCTCTGTGGGCACTGCACAACACCAGTGCACTCACATACATGTAGGCAATACATTCATACACATAAAATAAAGATAATAAATAAAATACTGTTTAATACACAACAAAGATAAAGCAAAATAAAATGGAATTGCTTTTAAAAATGTAATCAAAGGAGGAGAAAAATAAAGTTAAACAAAACAAGGCAGTAAAACTTCAAGTTATTGTCCCAGGAGGAATATATTTAAAAAAAAAATGATCTGAACTTGAGCCATTTAAAGAAGAAAAGACATATTTTCTATTACAAGAGATGAAGCCTTATCTAAAAATATCTCCATAAGCACTTCAGCATCTCTCCCTCAGATAAACTGTATCACCTCTAGGCAGGAGGAAGTAAAGGAAGGGCATGTGGCCCAGGGTCATGTTGAGGCACAGAACCTTAGAAAGGGGGAAAGAAGCAAAAAACAAAACCAAACCAAAACAACAACCACAACAAAATCCCAGCCTTCCTTCCAAAGTCCAGCTAGTCTTCTTTGTTTCTACATACCACAGGAATGCAGCTGCTGTTAAAACGCATCACTCATTTAATCTTGATTGAATGTGAGGCAGAAAAGCCGTGATGTTTGTGGGCATACCTGTTCTCCAGAGAACTGTGTCATAGAAGAAGGAAAATTCCATCTCAGTGTGGTGCTCCAAGGAGGCCCAGCCCCTGGGGGCTGTCACGTAGATGTAGGACACATAGAGAGGCACATGCACTGTCAAGAATGACTGAGCTGAATCCCTCACCTGCCAAGGAAACAATGTATGAGAAACAGGCTTGCTTATTTCCTGTGATAAAAGGGCAAAAGCTCACCACTCCTCTATTTAATTTTCATACACTCCCTACATCACTTACTCATTCAGTAATTACCAATTAAGCACTCACACCTGCAGTTGGTCTTTGAAAAACTAAGAGGGCATGAGGTGGCTAGGAGGCTTCTAGGTAGGGTGATCTGTGAAGGCTTTTCTGAGGAGGTCACACTTGAACAAAAATATTTTTGAATAGTGAGATTCATCTTTGCCTCCAATCTTCAGTTGATAGAAGCCTTAGATAAAAATTTAAAGTATCACAGACCAGGGCTAGAGAGATGGCTCAGTGGTTAAGGGCACTGGCTGCTCTTGAAGGGGACTGGGGTTCAAACCCCAGGACATACATGGTACTCCAGTTCCAGGGGATCCTGCACCCTCTTCTGACCTCCATGGGCATTGCCCAACATGGGTGCACTTACATACATGCAAGCAATACATTCATACACATAAAATAAAAATAGTAAATACAATGTTTTTAAAGTATCACAGGCCAAGGGATTGGCCTGCTGGCTTGCAAATCTACTATCAGTGCATGCTCACTTTGCCAAGAGTTGGCCAGAGACCTGTAGGAAAGGTTGGCCAACAGTAACTGGAAGTCTGCTCCTCTGACATGAACACATGCCTGACTCAGGAGGTCTTAGTGTGTACTCATTTGGTCTGGGAACTAAGACTGAAGGCTTTGGAAATCACATGTAGGAAGCTTAGCAACAAACAGCTCAGAGCTGAGGTGCTTCCACAGCTTCCTGGGTCCTGTGACGTTTTGGAAAAATGTTGGAGAAGGCAACAGATCCCACTTCAAAGAGACCGACTCTTTCTAAGGGATTTCTTACAGTTATTAATTCAGTGCACTAACATTTATTTTACCAGGCCATAAACAGAAACTGAATGGAAAAATAACAAAATACTAGCAGAAGCTTTCATGGTGAAGCTGTCCATATGTGCATGAATGGGGATGTTTGTTTAAAACATTTTATATTTCCTTCCATAAATATATATTTCTTTGTGTGCTGAAGAGATGGCTCAGTGATTAAGAGCACTGGTTGCTCTTGCAGAGTACCCAGGCTTAGTTCTCAGCACCCACATGGCTAACAACCATCCATAATTCCAGTTCCAGGGAATCTGATTCCCTCTTTTAGCCTCTGCAGTCATTGCACACATTGGTGCACTACATACTTGCATGCAAAACATGCATACATATAAAATAAAAATAAAGAATTAAAAAATACATTTAAAAAGAATTTAAACTGAAGCCATCAGTTCCCTCCAAAATAAACCTGAGAGAACCTGTACCCTGTACCAACCAGCTTTACATAAAATAAATTTTAAAAAAAAATTTAAAAATACATTTCTTGTGTTACAACAAAGCTAGTTTAAAACAATTGTTATTGGACAACTATAATAATATATTAAAGGATATATTTTTCTTTTAAAAAACTTTTGGGTTTATTTGTTTTTATTTTATGTATATGAGTGGTCTAACTGCATGTACGTAAGTGTATCTGTGCCATGCAATGCCCATAGAGGCCAGAAGAGGGCGTCAGATCCCCTAGAACTGGGGTTATAGATGGTTGCTACCCGCACTGGCAACCAAACCCAGTTCCTCTGCAAGAGCAAAGAGTGCTCTTAACTGCTAAGCCATCTCTCCAGATCCAAAGATATTTTTCTTTGGTTTGAAAATATAATGTAAACTATTCCTATTGGTGATTAAGGAAAAGAGCCAAATGCATTATCAATAGTTAAGACATCAAAAATTTTATTTTCCTAAAATATTTTTAAATTCAAAGAGGACAATAATTTAAAATTTAATGACATGTTTTTAAAAAGATTCAACTAATTCCATATTTATTTAAACATTCTTTTTTTTGACATACTTAATTTTATTTCTTTTAAAAAAATGTCCAGATTTTATCTGGATCTCCCATGATATGTGTCCCCTGATACCCAGGATTTGCTGGAAACACCTGCTCCAACCTCACAATTGTTGTTATTTAAACCTCAATATAATAACAAGAAGCAAAAGATGGGGGGGTACTGTAAAGGAAAAGAGATTTAACTGTCCTGAGAAACACAGTGTTTCAGTAATTTAGATTCAGATTCAAATAAATCAATTTTTAAAAGGTATGGGCATGTAAGCTTATGCACCCCATCAATAATCCTCGAGTTAATTGTTAAAATTAATCGTCCCTTGTTTGTTTCTCATTATTCTCCTTTAGCCCTCAGGATGTTGCCTGCTAATCTTTAATATTCTCTGACAAATATTTCCCTATAGAGTAGGTATTATTTTATATTATGCTGAGCTCATGAGTCACATTTTCATACGAGTTCAGAGAGATCATGTCTCACTTGTCTTCTAGTACTGAGGGGATGTGGAACCAGGCCTTAGCTCTAGTTTCTGTTTTTTTTTTTCAATGCTATATCAGCAATTTCAATATTTTTAAAGAAACAGACAACAACAAAGTACTTTGAGGTATATATATTTTTTCCTGTTAGATTTAAAAAGTGGACCATCAGAACTCTTTGCCTTAGGCATTTTAAAAAACATATTCTGAAAGAACTGATCCAAATCTGTAATTAAAGAAAAACCATGGAGAACAGAGAATATAGTTTTGAGGGGAGGGATAATCAGTTTTGTAGACTATCCATCTGCAGAAACAAAGGCTGACAGCCTTGAAATTTCATCCAGTAGAGGGCAGTACTGCACACAAAATGGAGGAAATTGAACAGGCCTCAAAGAAAACAGTACCTTGTCATCAAATACTTCCCAAATGATTGAGTCCCTCTACGCAGTCTCTCATTTAGTGAGGTTAAACTTGATTTGAAATGAAAAAACAAACATCTAACAAGCTTTGGCTCATTGAGTGCTCAGAAATGAGATAGTGCTTGAGAATTGATTTTCCCATGAGGGTAGCCTCGCCTCACTGGCCCTTTCATATAACTGCTCTCTCTCTCTCTCTCTCTTTTTGTAGGGGTTATCGGTTTGGAATAACGCAGAGGCAAAGTGTTTGAAGCAATGGACTCTTCCTGGTATGTCAGACCCTAGAGCTGTCTTCTGAAGGGTTATCACCCACCATTCTATGTCACTCCAAGTGGGGAGAACACATTTACTGAAATAAGTCCACTATCCAATGTAAATGTTTTCCATTTTCCAAGGTATACCCAGAAAGAAAAACATACACCCATATAAGTAAATTCTAAATTTTTGTACAGATGACTTCTATGGTAATTTTTTTACACATTAACTTAATTTAGAGGACACTGGGGCTCTTTGGTCACAATGCTGCCAGGATCTTGATAAGGGACTTATAAGGAAGACCCATTTAGTTGGCTGGCCTGCTGCTGGATGCTAAATGTTAACTTAGGTGCTTCAGGAACAGAGGTGGACATGGCACCCATGCACATGCAGGCCTGACTGAACCCAGAACCCACCTGGAAGTCGGCAGTCACGGAGCCCCCGCATACATCAATGAGCTCGGTCATGTCGTAATATGCATCAAAGGTCCACACGCAGCTCTTCAGGTTCAAGTGTCTGTATAGCTGGATGGTCTTAGGCTCCCTCACACTTGGGTCAAACTGGAAGGGGCGGTCATAGCCAGGGCCCAGGGCAGTGCTATGGAAACCTATATCATCCAGGAACCCTGCCTCTGCCAAGAGAGGAAAGAAGGAGCAGTGACTTCGGCTGCAGATGCTGGAAAGCTGGGTAGGAGGAGAGGCCCCCACTGTGACACTGAGCCATCCATTTGATAGTACAGTTGGAGCTACCCAATGCACAAGCAGGGCTTGTAAGAGGTAAACTTGTTGGAAGCTGGGGAGATGGCCCAGTGGGCAAAGTGCTCACACAGCAAGCACTAGGACCTGAGTTGGAATCACCAGCACCCATATAAAAAAGCCAGGCTTGAAGGCATGTGTCTATAATCCCAGTGTTAGGAAGTGGAGATCCTATCTCCAGAAAGTGGAGAGTAACTGAGGAAGACATCTCAAGTTCATGCACACTCCACAAGCACATGCTCATGCCATGTATATATACTCACACAGACGATCATATACCCACGTTATAACACACACACACACACACACACACACACACACACTCACACACACAAGAACTGAGCTGCAGGTTGCTTGGTGTTAAATGGGGCACTGTCCCTCTAAGAGAGCCAAGTGCCCAGAAGAAAAGATGAACCAACAAGAGGAGATTGCCCAGTGTGCACTGTATTTCTCATGTCCACAATTGGTCTCTGTGAAATGGATTGACTATACAGATCACTCATCAATGAATTAGTATTTTTAAGAGCCGTTTGAAAAATAGAGTTTCTGAACTCTTGTGGAGAAACAAAGTCTTAATGAGGAAATAGCTTGCTAATGATGCATGATTAAAATTCACCTGCTACAGCTCAGACTTACCGGATCAAATGCTGCCAGGCACGTGAACTGTTCTGAACTACAGAAGACCTTTGGGTGGCAGACAAGTGAATACATATACAGCTTTACAATATTTGGGATATAATTAAATTTTTTCACATTTTTATTTATTTTATTTTGTGTGCATGTCAGCATGGCATGGAGGTCAGACGACAAGTTGATGGAGTCGATTCTCTCCACCATGTGGGTCTTGGAGGTCAAACTCAGATTATCATGTTTGAAGGCAAGTACTTTTACCCACTGAGCATCTCACTGGCCCTGGGGTGTAATTTTAAAGTACTAAAAGTAATCACAGTATTGAGCCTCTTAGAATGCCTGCCACCAGCATCCAGCCCTTTATCCTACAAAGACTAAGAACTCAATTGATCTGTGATGAATTTAAACATTTTTTATTGTTGTTGTTTTGATTTTGAGATAGGATCTCCTTGTAGCCCCAGGTGGCCTGGAATTCGCTGTGTAGACTAGGTTGGCCTTGATCTCACAGAGATCCACCTACCTCTGCTGGGATTGAAGGTATGCACCACCACACCCAGATGAATTTAAATGTTTGTAAGTAGGGAGAGGTGCAGACTTTCAATCTTTAAACATGTTTCTTTCAGTACCACTGTATATAGACCAACTAAAATTTCATGTGTAATTCAATGATTTAAGAAAAATTTGCGCTCCACTAATTCTACTGTATAAAGACCATCACTACCAAAATGATACTTAATGAATGAATATGAAAAAGAACATGAATACATTTATGTCTTCAAAAACACTGTTAAATGATTCATCAGCAGTAAAGCAGGGGGAGACATGCATTTTATCTGCTCTTGCCAAGGTAAATGGAAACAGACAGAATTCTTTATAAAGTAAAATGTCTGCTGTGGTGAACACAGAGATGTGCAGCCTTAGCTATCAGCTTCTTCAGGTCCCCATCAGCCACAAAGTGCTCAGCCAAGGTCCTATTCTTGCTGAGACAAGCCCGGCCAGCAACAGAGTAAGGCAGGCTATCCTGGTTTCTCTTGTGTTTCTTTCTTTGCTGGCTTACAGTGCAGTTTGATTTTTCCCTCTGCCCAATCCTGCTTCTTCCCCTTCCCTTTAAATAGGGGTTGATCTCTTTTCTAAATTCATTTAATTTTATTTTATGTGTATGAGTGTTATGCCTGCATGTATGTAAGTGCACCCACGTCATGTGGTGTCTGTGAAGGAAGAGGGTGTCGGAGTCCCTGGAACTGAATTTACAGATGGTGGCTAGCTGCCATGTGGATGCTGGAATTCGAACCCAGGTCTTCTGTAAGAACAGCCAGTGCTCTTAACCTCTGAGCCATCTCTCCAGTCCCAGGTGTTGATCTCTTAAAAAAAAAAAAATCTAATGCCCTAAATGTCATCTTAGTTCCTGATTCCATAGGATCCATCCTTAAGCATCTAACATCTGCACTTTATCTTTCTCAAGATATTTCTATCCCAGGATCTTAGACCATAAAACTAAAATGCTCTCAATGGTAGGGGAAGTAATTGGTATTTACCATGGTGGGCATTTCCAACATAGCAACACACTGAATCGCCTCAATTTGGTTGCAATGGTCTCTTTCATGTTACAGATAAGCAAATGGTGGCTGGGAGAGGTAGAGCTATTTTTGTCCAGTTGTAGCAGTAAAAAACAGGATCTGAATCTTGGTCAATTGTATTTGAAAGTCCTTGACATTTCCTGTTCACTTCGTTGCCTGTGCTCCCTAAGTCTGGAGCCATTTTTCCTTGCTAAGAAGGAAAAATTGATACGAACTTCGGAGAACTAGACAACATCAAAAGGCGAGCTCTCCCCACGGAGCCACATCTCCAAAGCTGTTGAACAGGGCTGACAAAGAACCAGGAGCAAACTCACCTGAGATGCCTCTCAGGTCGTGGGCAGTGACTAAATTGGAGCAGACGTGCTGGTGTCTGTAGATGGACTCGGACAGTAAGAAATGCAAGTTGTGCAGCGGCATAGTGGAGATAAGAGGCAGCATTCCATCCTGGTGAGGGATCTGCACGGAAATGTGGATTCTAGGGGAGAGGAGACAGAAGTTTTCAGCTACAGGCAGCGCAGCAGCCCACAGTGCTTTACTTTCTCATCACAAATTTGTCTTCAATGGATTTAGCATTTTTTCCCGAAAAGTTTTCCATGCAGCATTTTATCAGAACACGAGGGTGTGGATGTATATGTAATGTTTTTTTCTCCTACAGAATCCTCTAGCCTTAAGACTGACAACAATCAGGAATCACACAGATCTTTTTTTTTTTTTTTTTTTTTTAATCTGTGTAGGAAAATATAACATCACAGTCACAAATTACTTTGAAGCGCTCTTTTGCATTAAATGGAAGCTTTGTATCCTCAGGAGCTAAGGTTTAGTGACTGATGCAGCTGCTGTCTACCCTGCCTCCATGAGCACCTGTGGAAGCTAGGAGGGCTGAGATGGTCATATAGCTTTTTTTGCATGTGTATGTATGTGTGGTGTGTGTGTGCGCTTCTGTGTATGCATGTTTGCCCATGTGTGCCCTAGAGGAAGCACTCTCCACTTCGAGGCAGGGACTCTTGAATCTGGGGGCTAGTCAACCGGGCTAGCCTTAGCTAGCCAGCATGCCTCCTGTGTGCTAGATTACAAGCAGCTGCCATGACTGCCCAGCTTTTCTCAAGGGTCCTGGGGATCCAACTCAGATCCTCTTGCTTCCATGGCAAGTACCTGAGCCATCCCCTCAGCCTATTTATATGCTTTTAAGCATTTAGTTAAGCCAAAAAGAATGACTGAATTCTTAGATTTTTAAGCCCAGTCCTCACTCAGTCAAATCCCACTAATCCTACTGTCTCCAACTAAAAACAGTCATCTGGCCTCTCTCCCGCTAAGTTCCACCACACCTTGCATTCCATTCTGACCTTCCTCAACCGGCAGCAAGCTGTCCCTTAGCACATGGGTAGACTTTGTCTCAGGCTGTCTGTAACTTATTTGTATTGGCTGCTATTTCTTGTATGTTTTAAGACTGCTTATCTTGCCTCCCCACTCTGACAACAAGGTCCATTTCCTTCATTGCTTTTGTTTCCACAGTGCAGGTAGTATACAATTCAAAATAAAATATGAACTTAATAAATATCGGCTAAGACTGCGGCACAAGCAGAGCTGTGCTTATGGGCTGCATCTGTTTTCATTGCACAAGTTTACATTTTCAGTATGTTTACTGAGTGTGTTTTGAGTTCATAATGCTTGTCTCTGTAAGCAGAGAGGCACATTTTTTCCTCAGAGGAATCCAGACTTGGGATGTAAAGAACATGACTCTTCTCCTAGGAAAGGGTCAGGGCTGCCCTGTGTTCTTCTGTTATTGTTCCTTAACAAAAATAAATTTTATTCTGTTTGAAAAGAAGGGAGATTTGTAAGCCACTCAGTTGTTCATAAAGATAAATGTTTAAATTCTATGGTTTAATGAATATGTATGACATGTAAGCATTGTCTTTCAATATGCAAAAATGAAAGCATCCACCTCCCATCAAAGTCCTGGTGGAAGGAAGTACAGTGACTTGTAGTTTAGATTGTATTGTTAGTCGTTAGTTCAGCAGATATTCCTATGAAGCACTGAACTAGACAGAGAAGATGCAAAGTAAATAATCATGGTTGCTTCCCTTAAGATGTTTACCATCTACCACACGGATAGAGAGGAGTGATGCTAGTGCTCTAAAAGAGGCATAGGTGGGCATCAGAGGAGCCTCTAAATTAAATGGGAGGAAATGCTGAGACTGCTCTTAGAAGAGATGCTGTGAGCTCTGCATCAGAGGACAAGAGGAGGGATGGGCGATAGCTGGAGCTGGGGATAGCACACACACAACCCAAAGGAGCTTGAAGCCCTTGGGAGGTAATGTGATTCTCTGTAGGTGGCACAGCAGATGAAAACAACAAGGAGAGGAATAAGTCGAGGAAGACAGGCAGGGGGCCGGCGCCCGAGGCCACTGAGGAGGGTTCTTCTGAAGATTTAATGACCACTATTTAATTTTGATGAAGCATCACCGGGTGATCCACCCCGGCTGGAAAGCACACAAGGATATGTGAGATCCCCTCACCGGGAGAGCTGTGGAGAGAAGCCATCTGACTGACCTGTTTGGATGCTCCTTGTGCTTGACGTCCAGGTATTTCAAAGTTGCGATGAAGGACTGTGCTTGGAAACCTCGAGCGGTGCCAGCCACCACTGGAGTGTGGCAGATAGCACTGTCTGTTCCAATGGTAACAATGTTGCTTCTTAGGGGGGTTCCCACATGGCCCACCTTGTCCACAGCCTTTGCCACACAACGCACATGGAACCTCCGACTGAAATAAATGCTGTCTAGAACCTATGGGAAAGACAGTGTCTCAGACATGCACATACTACATAAGCAGGTCTTTGTTCTATATCTGGTGTGATAAAGTAAGATGCTGTTACAAAGTTAGCTATGGAGGCCATCCATCCATCCATCTATCCATCCACCCATCCATCCATGCATCACCCATTCATATGTCCATCTGTCCATTTATCATGTACTCAATGGTATCCACCATGAACCCAGGGGAGAAGACAGAAAATGAGTATGTAAATTTGGAGTAGTAGCCCAAGGCTTGTCTTCAGTTGCTGTGTTGTTCTCTCTGCATCTGCAGGTCAGCATAAGATCACAACTGTTTCTCACACCTTCCAGCAAGACTCACTGGCCTCCAAGCCTCTGTTGCTGAGAGCATGGTGAAATCAGATAAGGCCTGGGCACATGGGACACAATTCCTTGTCTTGAAGGAGAAGCTGCCAGTCCTTTCCCTAACGACTCTTGCACTCTAGAATCAGTTCTTCAAGAGTGGACATGAGCAAAAGCAGCTAAGTCATCCAGCCAATGATGTTACAAGCTCAAAATCCCTTATGCAGGATGTAACTCACCAGAAAAGAAACACATGTTCCCCTCTTGTCATCCAAACAGCAGTAGCTTTTCTCCTTCCTGATTCCTAGACATACCCTCACTACAGATGGACCAGAGGGAGCCTGGATCTTTTAGTTCATGATCTCCTACTAGTCAGCTACACAATAAAGCTTTCTCCTTTTGAAAAAAATCTGGTGACATCATCATCCTGGTTTCTGTGTGCATCCAGCAGCAAGCTCTTATTCTGATATCTTGCTGGATATCAGAATAAGAGGAGAGATTCCTACTGTCCCCTACAACACTGCAAGGGTCACAATGACATACAAGCTTGCGGCTGATAACTTGGACCCCTGACAACTCCTGGCCTTTGAAGGCCTTTCTTCAGATCCTGTCACATTTTCAGATACACAGAAGCAACAGGAGCAAGGGTAATGCAGAGGCAATGTGGGTTGCCAGGACACTTTGGGTGATGTGTGCACATACAAGTATAGGTCAGGAAAACTAATTAACTAAAGTCTGCATGCTTTAGACCGCCCACAAAGCAATCCCACAAATGCAGGAATTACTCCCATGCAGACAATTTTCATTGAAGTCCATTAAAAATTAAAGAAGATTCTCCCATTAAACTTTTTTATTATCTTCCATTTACTTATTTATTTACTTATAAATGGATTTAGTATAGGCACTGGAGAGATGGCTCAGCTGTTAAGAACACTGGCTGTTCTTGCAGAAGACCCAGGTTCAAATCCCAGCACCCACATGGCAACTAACAACTGTCCATAACTCCATTCCAGGAGAGCCAACAGCCTCTTCTGTCCTCCGTGGGCATTGCATGACATGGGTGCACTTACCTACATGCAGGCAATTCACACATACACATAAAATGAAAATAATAAATAAAATATTTTAATAAAAAATGCACTTAGTCTAGATATGATTAAAGGCATGTTACAAAAATGCACACACACAGTGGGATTAAATAAATAACTGAAGAAATGAACATAAAGCAGAGGAAACTGGGGTAAACAGCATTAGTCACCAGCTCACTGCAGAAGAAAAGCTTATTGTCACAGAGCCATAAATTTGATACCTATTAAAAAAAAGTATATTTTTGGCTCAAATATACAGTTCTGTTGAGCACAGAATTAGACACTTAGGATATGATAAGCTACTAAGTCTGGCTTTTAAAATTTTTTTTGGTGTGTATGATGGTGTGTGTGTGTGTGTGTGTGTGTGTGTGTGTGTGTACATAGTGTGGAGGTCAGAGGACAATCTTGGGCTCAGCCCTCACCTTGGAAACTGTTTAAGGCAAGGTCTCTTTGTTGCTTGTTGCTGTGCTGCATGCTCCAGGCTAGCTAGCTCCCAGGCATTCTCAGGTTTCCACCCACAGCATAAGAGCACTGGGTCATAGATACGTTACCATGCCCAGTTTTATGTGAGTTTCAGAGATTTGAACTCAGAACCTCACTCTTGCACAGCAAATGCTTTCTTTACCTACCAAGCCATCTCTCAAGCCCTTAAATTTAATAATATAGAAGATGACTTAAATTTGAGCCATGTTATATTTAAAGAGTGGATTCTCTGGCCTCTGTTAATTAGATGTGCCAAAGACAATGGCTGTGAGTGACCCCGTTCTACTGGACTCTTCTCAGCTCTGATAGTTTTTCTTTAACAATCCAGTGAGAACGATCTGAGTTGAAGAGGAAAATCTCAAGGAAGTCAGTCCGAGAGGAATCTCTGCTTTCCAAAACTAGTCAGTAAACTAATTTCAGTCAAAACTCACTGAATTCTTACAATGTGCTAGATTCTATGTTGAGCCTGAGTCTCACCCGCCTTCCTGTCTCTTCTGGAAGAAAACCAACATCCCTGGGACATGCACAGAACTGCTGGAGGGCATTTGTTCCTAAGTTTGGGAAAACATCACTAGTCGCTGCTCTCTGAGCTAGAAGTTCTTTGATAAAAGCACTGCCCCAAGAGTTTCTTCTCATGGCCTCCCAAAGTGTAGTCCGCTGAGTAAGCAGGGTAACCTTCTGTTTAAAAATTTCTCCCTACTATGTGCCACCCATCAGCTGGCTATTTTGAGATATCCAAATGTGAATGATATGTAACAAAGAACTCCTTAATGGTAATCACTTAATGGTATGTACCTGGAATCTTGGACTTGCTTTATCATTTATGATCACATTGGTCAGTTATTAAGTGGCTGAGTGAAATAAATAGTTTATGGATCAGGAGACTGAGAGAGATCAAATAACTCCTTCACATCATGTGGTTAAAATGTGGCAGAATCAGGATTTGTAAACAGGTCTGTAGATGACTGGCTTGGTTCAGGTAATACACCATATAAGCTTTCCTAACACTGAAGAATAAAATATGTGTATACCTGTTTATGCTATGCATGGACCTCAAGGAATCTGAAGAACACCAGCTCCCTCCCTCCTGACCAGGTTCAGTCCCCAACTTACCATATGGTTGATGCTGGTGAACGGTGTGTTATCAGTGATGGTCTCAAAGGGAGACCGAGCTCCATTGCCATCAGTGGGGGTGGCCACTTCCCAGCTGAACTGCACAGATGTCTGGTTGATGCCAGCCTCGCTGCAGCGTTCCTTCATGACAGTATACCTGGGGAAGTGGGGGTCACAGGGAGTGACACAGACCAGCGGGTAGCCAGGTGATGGAGCTTTCTTGACTCCTTCCTTGGTAACCTCTTCCACGTGGTCATAATCAGCTAGGGTGACAACCTATAAAACAACAGCAAAGTTTTAGGCCTGGTTGAGTATCATGAAGATCAGAGAGCTACAGCTGTCTTTCTCAGAAACCCTCCGGACCTCTCTACTTAGAGGTGTCCTGTAAACTACAGCATAAAGTTTTGTAGTTCTCTGCCAGGCAAAGGTTAAAGAGAAGCTTAGTGGTGGAAGAAATCCCTCCTAGAAGCTCTATTATCCTATTAACTGCATTCCCAAACCAGAGCCTTATGTGAAAAATATTCTTTTTCTACATACTGAATACAGTTATACCACTAATGGCAGGTGCTAATTTAAAGTTTTATTAAATTATTAATGGTACATAGGGGGCACATTTGGCAAAACAAAAATAAATAAGGCTCATGCATTTCTTTTATATCCAAATAAGAGATAAGTTTTAAAATAATCTCGTCTAAAATGTAAGGGACTAGTTAAGGGGAGGTTAGAAGATTGGTTTGAATCCTTGACTCTTAGAGATTAAATATCTACTGGCAACCTCTGGGTATTTTCCTCTTAGTGGTAAGGTTATTACATTTATTCTGCTCATCCCAAACTGGGAAACATGGAACCATATCTGCATATTCTTAATTATCTGTGTGCTAAGTGTGTTACTTTCTTACTCTTCCCACCAAAGCAATGAGAAGATCAGCTGAATTGTACTTTCTGTCATGGTTGGGTCATGATATCAACACCTTGGTCTTGTCAGAACTGTGCTTTGACACCCTTGTCACTATTGTCATTTGTGCCAAATAACTGTTTTTGTTGTTAGCAGCTGTCCTCTACACTGAAGGGTGGTCAGCAGCATCCCTGGATTCTACCCACTAGATGCTCATGTGAGACAGATGTGCCAAGCAGAAATGTCTTCAGACATGGCCAGATGTCCTCTGGAGGGGGAGAGTGGGAGGTTTCTCTTGGTTGAAAAGCAAGAACAAAGCGGCACACTTGGGACCCGCCTTCTCTCAGGTCCCCTCTATGTTCCCTGAAACACAGAAGCAGTGATTCTTTGGCTCAAGTAACTCACAATTGGCGGTGCTGGCAATATGAGGCTTCCTGCTGCCTCTTGGTCTAGAATTGTCACAGTGGCAGTGGTCACATCCCCAAGAACAGCTTCCACTGGGTCATCTGGGCCAAGGACTAGAGAAAAGGACTCATGCCATTCTCGATCTTCATTGGACAGGATCTCGACTTTAAAAAAGATGTGATCCACCCCTTCACCAAGGACAGAAGGAAAAGAGAGCAAAGATCTTGTTAGGAGATGTCGTCAGGACAGTGGGAGTTGGCAGTGCTGAGACATCAGGCTGAAATATGTCCTTTTCTTTCAGGGGCTTCTCATAAATGCAGTGACAGCTAATCGCTGCAGCCCCATCTCAAGTGAGGGATCTGTTTTACAGACCAAATTCTACCCATGGCAGAGGCTTAGCATTGCAGATTTACTATTCAACACCATCTGAGGAGTAATGGCCCCTGCCTGACACTGGCTGGCAGTAATAAAAATCTATGATCCAAAGTACACTTCATCCTGGTTATACTTTTTCTTTTCACTTAATTTTTCTTTCTCTTTTACACTTATGTATGAGCTCGTGTGGCAGCGAGAGCTTGCACACAGATGCCCTTCAAAACCATCTCCTAAGAAGGAATGGCTCAGAGAGATCCTACCAGGCTGATCTCCGTAAAAACCGTATCACTGAGGTCTAGATGCTGGAAGTGGAGGGTGGTGGTGTTAGGAATCCACTTCATCTCTTGTAAAATCCACGGCAGTAAGTAAAGGACATTTACTCCTCTCCTTCTGACACGTGGTCTGCATTGCTTCTAGACTGATCTTTTCCCCAGAATCTTACGCAGAAAAGAGTGAGGATACCTGAAGGAGAAATTGCTGTGGTTCTTTCCAGAAAATATTAACTAGACACACATGGGATACAGCTTAAAGCTCTGTAAACCCCTAGTGAGGTGACAGACGTATATATGGACCCTTATCCTGAGTCTCTGAGTCACTCCATCCATCTGCCAACACAGTTCTGAAAGGTCCTACACAGTGGCCCCTGATTCATATCATCACAGGTGATGCCAGGATTTACATTAGCTGGTTCACTTAATTTTTCTCCCAGAAAGTTCTGTGAGAGAAACGTAGCATACAATTCAAATGGCTATTTGGCTGGCATGTTCCTCCATCAAATTAATGCATCAGATAGTTGGCTGTGGCTTGATTCTTGTCTTTTCCTCTTCCTTAACTCGTCTTCATTTTTGTCTTTGAGACAAAACATTTTGGAAACCTTTTAAGAGGTTCTTATTCCCTAGTAGATGTGAAACCATTTGCACATAGGGATTGTGTCTTTCAGATTCTGGTAACCCTTAAAGGACCCAGAACAGTGTAACAGTAACAAGTGTTGCTATTACTCAAACCAAAAGCTAACAAAAATCCTTTCAAAGAAAACAAAATGTAGATAGGCACTTATTTTTTATTACTTAAAATGCTAACCTGCAATCTCAAATGTATATTTAGTATATAATTTATTTGAACCATTAGTTTCTTTCTTTGTTTCTCTTCATAATCCTTCCTTCAAATACAAGAGAGTTACCTTTCCATTAAGAAAAAAGAATTGGACTAGTTGAGAAGAGGAAGGGGATCTGCGAGAGGAGGAGCGGGACAAGAGAGGGCAACTGGGGTGTGTATGACCAAATGCACTATGCACAGGTAAGAAAATGTCATAATGGAACCCATTGCGATGTATAATTAATATATGCTAATAAAAAACTTAAAAAGAAAACCAACAGACTGGACTTGGCATTCAATTACCAGGATTGAATTTCAAGACTCGGCTCTTGGGGTAATAATCCACACCAGACTGAGCAGACCCGTCCCGGGTGCTGCAGCGGATCTCTGAGGTCCTGTTCTGATCACCTCTGCGTATGACCTTGATGCTCAGAATTGCAATAGTGTCTGGTCCTGCAGGTTCCCGGACTTGGTATGCAGTTTCTTCAAACTCAATGGTAGGGGCTAAGGAAAACAGAGCAACTTAGACTAGCATGAAGGATCAGTCTCAAAGAAAATACAGCAAGAGAGAACTGTTCTCATTTGTTGCGACCCCAAGGACAAATGGCTGTCAGTCACAAAGTTCAATCTGTATTTACACCTGAGCAATTCTTTGCACAAAGGAATTGATCGGTGGTCCTTTAGGAGTTATTTCTTACATATTTCCTATTTAAAAAAACAATGGAAAGATATGTTGAAAGACTTTGAAATATATGGCCTGAGTTTCCCTTGGGTTTTAAATTTGCATAATTTATCAAGGGATTGAGACATAGTAGGTACTTGATAAATACCTACTGACTGCTTATATGAATAAACTTTTAATTTCTAAGCCACGAATTTCTAAGGTTTACAATTTATCTCATTTATATATTAAATTTACCAAGTCCACCTTTTACTTGTGGTCTTTTAGATATCTCAGTGCTTTTACCTTCCCTACATTAGCATTTCCTAACTTCTCACATTTATCTCAATCAGTATAGTTAGTCTAGGAACACAAGATTTTTTTTTAAAGTATTTTATTTATTTTTATTGTGTGTGTGAGTGTATTGCCTACATGTGTATAAGTACACCTGTGTTGTACAATGCCTGAGGAGGTCAGAAGAGGATATTGGATTCCCCTTGGACATGGTGTTATGGACGGTTGTTAGGCTTAATGTGGTTCCTGGGTACTGGGAATTGAACCCATGTCCTCTGTAAGAGCAGCCTCTTAACCACTGAGCCATCTTTCTAGTGCCAGAACACAAGATTTCTTGACACAATCTGGTTTGAGGTACTTTCATTGTTAGAAAATGATTAATAATAATTATGTTGGTTTTTACTTCCAAAATTCAAATCGTGCTTTCTTTTCTATTAATTTTCATGAGGAAAGGAAGGATAGTGTGGTGGTAGACAGTGAGATAAAATGATGTGGAAATTGAGAGCAACTACTAATTTTATATCATTTCAGCATATTATAGAATATTGCAGAAATTTCTCATTTTTGTTTTTCTGTCTAACTGTGGAAGATAAGACTCATTTGAGACTTTATAGTTTTTAGCGTGAAGTGTTTTAAAATATCAGAAGGTTGCTGAATAGGGCGATTTATTACCTTATTGAATCTTTTTTCTTTTAAAGATTTATTTCTATTTATGTGCATGTGTGAGCAGGTGCTTGTGGAGGCCAGAAAAGGGCAGTATATGCTCTGAAAGTGGAATTATAGAGGGCTATAAGATGCCCAACATGGGTGCTGGGAACTGAACCCCAATCCTCTGCAAGAGCAGCAAGAGCTCTTAAATTACAGTCATCGCTCCAGCCCCAGTCTCGTTGAATTTTTTTGTCTTTTTGAGATAGGGTCTCACTGTAGCCTCAGCTGGCCTGGACTCCCTATGGGGACCAGACTGGCCTCAATCTCACAGAGATCTGCCTGCTTGTGCCTCCCAAGTGCTGGGATCAAAGGTGTGCACTACCATGCCCCACCTGTCTTGTAGAATCTTAATCATGGGTTTTCTTTGTGACTGAGAAAGATTCACTTTGGAGTTTGAATCTAAGCCTGCATAAAAGGTTAATTCAACTTCAAGACTCCTGTGTGTGTGTGTGTGTGTGTGTGTGTGTGTGTGTGTTCATGCAGGTGTGCGTGTGGAGGTCAGAGGTCAACCATAGGTGTCATTCCTCTAGAGGCATCCACTCTGTTTTTGAGACAGGGTCTCTCACTGGGACTTGGGACTTGTTGATTGGGCTAGGCTGCCTGGCCAGTGAGCTCCAGTCCAGGGAGCTCCCGTTTCAGCATTGGGATTACAAGCACACACTACCACACCTAACTTCTTATCTAGGTGATAGGTGTTAAACTCAGGGCTTCATGCTTGAGGATCAAGTAGTTTACCCATGAAGCTATCTCTCCAGCCCCTAGGCCAGATTTTCTTGCTGTACATCATGTTAGTTAGTTCCTGACTTAACTAGGAACCCCAGGAACCTTAGTGACTCTCATGGTAGTTAACAGTGCAGATTCTAGACGCTGATGAAACAAGTTTCCATCCAGTGTTACTGTTTATGACTCTGTAACTAAGAGTGCAAATTATGTACTTTGCTGAGGTTGCAAATTATGTACTTTGCTGAGGTTCCATTTCTTTACCTAGGAGGATACTTTCATCCATTTCAAGGATTATTTCTAGGATTAAATTAAATAAGGCAATATAATATGATTAGCAAGTACAATAAACAATAAAAAGCAGAGTTTGTACTCATATATATATACCTATTAAAATATCTATTTTAATAAAACAACAATGTTTCAGTTTAAAACAGGTTTTGTTTCTTTGGGTGCTTGGGTCAATTTGTAGGTTCCCTGACATTAGAATTTAAGGTTTTTGTTTGTTTTGTCAGTATGTCAATTAGAAGACACCTGAGAAAGTCAACTTTTCTAGGGAAGCAGGAGTGTTTTGAGTTAGTTCTTTGGACTCAACTGATTCTGACTGTATTTTCAGTTCTCCTCTGGACCCATTGTGACATATACCTCTTTTATTCTCTGCCTCAGCATTTCTGCCAAATATAGCTCTGAGCCATATTTGTTCCTTATCGTTGGCAACCTAGGGAATAATGAGACTAAGGATTCCTGTGAACATATTGGAGTGCTGAAGAAGGTGATTTGTTGCAAACATTTTATATAAATATTCAGAGGTTGTTTCAAGTGGGCCCTTTTATAGCACTTTCCCTTTCAAAACATTAGTCATTATATTACTGGTAAACCAGAGTTCGTGTCCTATCAACCTAAAAGAAACTAAAGGCAGTTTCTTCTGTTACCATCTTCATCATTGGATATGGTGACAGTGGCCATGCTATTTTTCCCAACTCTGGCCCCACTCCAGTGGTTTCCAAGAGGATGGCCAAGGTAGACCCTGAACTGCTCCTCAGGCTCAAACATGGAGTCATCGTGGATGTAGACAGTGCAGTTCTTCACCTACAATCAACAGACAAGACAAATTCAACCTGTATCCAGGAACTAATAATGGGTGTTTTTCCTACATGATTCTCTCCTTTGTGGCATCAAATAATTAACTCAAAAGTATTCAGTTTCATTCATAAAAAGAATTTTTAATTTTAGTTATCTTTCTTTTATATGCATGAGTACATTGCCTGCGTGTATGTTAAGGCATAATGCAATGGCCATGGAGGTCAGATGAGGGCATCAGAGCTCCTGGAACTGCAGTTACGGATGATTGTTAGTCACCCTGTGGGTGCTGGGAATCAAACCCGTGTTCTTTGCAAAAGCAGCCAGTGCTCTTAACCACTGAGCCATCTCTCCAGCTCCTAAAATAGAGTTTTTAATTTTAGCAGTTTATTCCTGAGTATGACTCTACCCCAATGACAAGACATGATTATAAGAACATTCCAGGGAACTTTTGGATTACTGGTGTTGAGTTTTGAAAAAAAACAAAACAAAACACAAACGACCTACTAAAAAACACCCACAGAATAATTGGGTACTTTTCCAAATGTTATCCAGGCTAATAAACACATTCATGCATGACAACAGGCAGACTTCTAGTGATGGAGGTTAGCCACTGCTCTTCTTCCTGGATAGCTGAATACATTCCTTTTCCTTTGCAAAAACGGAATAACTATATAACGATTTCAGAAAGGATTCATATTAGTTTAAAAAGATTATTGTGTGGATAACGTATAGTTTATCTTTTATTAAATTAAAAACTATCTCTTGAGTAGACAGTGAATGTTTTTAAGCTTAAAACGAACACAGACCTATATACTCAAAGTTGAAGATTGTATCTGCAATGTTTTCATGTGTTCTTTTTAAAAAAAAATTGTTTCTGTTGAATTTTGTGTATTTCATACTGAACATCTCAATCAATCTTAATCATCTTTATATCCCCATGCCCACTGGCACCCTCCCATAGCCCCCACACTGGAATTCATACATTCTGTCATTTGTGTTAAGGCCTATTGTGTTAAGTTAGTGTCCCCAGATGTTCCTCAGTACAAATTCATCTACTGAGGCCTATGCAGATTATCTAGAGTCCTTCGCTTTAGGAAGATCAATTCTTTCTCACCTAACAGTAATCAGTTGCCAATATTTCTTCAGCTAAGATTTGGGTCTACCGTCCATTTCCCCATTTCTATGCTGAGTTTTTGTCTGCTTAATTTTGCATGGGACTTGTGTATGTTGATACCATTGCTGTAGATTCATATGAGCAGGGTCCCAGAAGCTGGTAGGACTCTATTTCCATATGGTCATGCACCTCCTCCTGGCTCTTACAATCTTTCTGCCCCCTCTTCCGAAATGCTCCCTGAGCTCTGTGTGGGTGAAATTTAATATAGGAGTCCTGTCCATAAACTAGCATTCTGTAGACTCTTGATCTCTACACTTTGGCCATTTGTGACCTTTTGTGTTCCTGGCCCTCTGTTGCATGAGGAGCTTCATTAATGAGAATTGAGAGATTCATTAGTGTCCTCTTCATCCCTATTCTATGTTCTGTGAACCTTAAGAGTAGAGATTGCATTGTAGATGTGTCACTTAGGCCTGGGCAATTCATAGACAAGGTCTGTGTGTGATCAGTGTGTTACTTGGTAATAGTCTCCATCTGGTGCAAAAGAAGTGTCCTTAATGAGTGGTGACTGTGATATTTGTCTGTAAATATAAGGATACATATTTTGTGCCTAGTAAGAAATTACAATAGTCTAGGGATGTGACAGTGTTGGAGTTTTCTCTAAGATCTATGACTGCTCCAGCCATGTGTACTTGTTATGTTTATAGTACCACACTTGAGTTTCTTCCCATTGAATGGGCTTTTAGTCCAATTAGGTAGCTGTTGAGTGCTCCCTAAAAGTGCCACTACTCAACAATGTTATATGCTATACTGGCCATGATGTGGTTTTTTGGTCTTGAAGTTGGTGTTAGACCATCAATTGATGTTTTCCCTTGGCACCTTCATAGTGCTCTCCAAAGCTGTGAGAGCTAGCCTTCAGGGGAAGTGGCTTCCAGATCAGTTCCAGGTCCATTGCTCCACATCCTACGTCTGAAGTATGTTCTGTCTTCAGCAGTAGGGTCTTACCTTCAAGTTCTATGAGGCAATCAAGGGCTGTGGCAATAGTCTGTGTAATTTGGGGGGTCTCTTGGACCACCCTGGCTAATCACTCCAAGGAAGTTTTCTCCTGTCTGGCACTGTTTCTTGTTATGTAGCCTTTAGCTATACACTTAGATTCATGTAGAAATATTGTATGTGTAATTTGTCCTTAGGTTGTTGGACTAATATAATTCCCTCTGGTTTTTTAAAACTACCTAGGTATTATTTATCTCTCTCCTCTCTCTCCTTGTCCTTAAACACAGGTTTCAACCCGACACAAGTAAAATTTCAAAAAAAATATGCAATTAAGGAACTAAGGATTGGCCCTAATTTGTTTTTTTTTTTTGTTTTGTTTGGGTTTTGTTTGTTTGCTTATTTTTGAGACAAGGTCTCCCTACAGACTCAGCTATCCTGAAACTTGCTACATGGACCAGGCTGGCTTCAATCTCACAGAGATCCACCAGCCTCTGCCTCCTGAGTGCTGGGAATAAAGGCGTGCACCACTGTGCCCAGTTAGGACTGGCCTTATGAGTCTTGTACACAAATGTACAAGACTCATGAAATTCCCCCAAAAGAAAGCTATCACTTCATTTTGTTTACATGTTGTAGTAAAAGTGAAGAGAGGATAAGTCTGGAGTGATCCATAATCAGTAAGATTTTCTTATGTTCAGGGTCAGAAGGATTAATCAGAAGATAGTATTTTGATGCATTTGGTTATGTCAAAATTGAAGCCTTCTGTTCAGTTAAGAATACCATGGCTAAAGTAAAGAGATAAGGGACAGAAAGAGACAGATATTTACAATATTTAAGATATCTAAAACTCGTAAGGAATTAATAGTATTTATATGAAGTAAAAATCAGTAAGAAAATATAACAATGAAATAAAAAAGGTCTAAGGGACAAAAATAATCTTATAAGTTTATTGGAAACCCAGTAAGAGATTAGTCATATGAAAAGGCAGAGAAATACCAATCAAAATGTCACTTAGCTTTATATTATACTAGCAGAAACTTGAAGAATAGGCAGTGCTGACTATAGGAGAGACTGTAGATGGATAGCAATTTTCATATATTTCTAGTAATAGTCTAGAAAGTTCTCTGGCAGTCTTTTTTTCCCCCCAAATCAGTGTATGCATGTTCTATAGAAGGCCTAGCAGCTTTGCCCCTGGAGATATATTATGCTGGTTAGTTTTTGTCAGCTCGACACAAACTGGAGACACCTGGGAAAAGGGAACCTCAACTGAGGAATTTCCTCCACTGGATTGGCCTGTGGCTACATCTGTGAGGCATTTTCTTAATTGGTAATTGATGTAGGGTGGTCCAGCCCACTGCGGTGGTACCATCCCTGGGCGTGTGGGCCTGTACTGTACAAAGAGGGTAACTGAACCAACCAGACAAAGCAAGCTAGTAAGCATCATTCCTCCATGGTCTCTGCTCCAGGTTCCTGCCTTGAGTTCCTGCCCTGGCTTCCCTCAGTGATGGTGTAAGATGAAATAAACTCTTTCCTCCCCAAGTTGTTTCTGCTCAGAATTTTAACACAGTCATAGAAACCAAATTTCCAAAGAAATCCTCTCTCAGGTCTTGGAAATATCACTTGTAGTGATGGGGGCTAGGAGGTTACATGGTGTGATCATGGAAGCTCTTTACTGTCTACTCCTGAGAGTTTCTGAGGAAAATACAGAAGGTACCTTCCATGAAATATTATGGGATAGGCAGAAGCAACAGATTAGATATACCTGACACAGACAGATCTTAAAACACAATGCTGTAAAAACAGTAAAGATGAACAAAGAAAGAATAGTATTTTATTAATAATTCATGTAGGCAAAACAAAAAGCATTTTAAAAGAAAAACAAACAGGAGCTATAGATCAAACACACTAGGTGAGGAAAGGAGTGAGTCAGAGAATGTGAGAAAAGAAATAAATCAGAAGACCCCTGGGAAGGGCCTTGCATGGACCAGTGCGGATGGCATGCCTGCAACCAAGGGGTATGAGTGACTCAATCACTGAAACTGAGACTTGAAAATGGAAAAGTGTGATTCTCATTCAGTCCCACCTCTGCAATACACTGAGGTTGCAGGTTGGGATATACATTGCTCCATTGATTGCCCTGGGACAAGGGCCAAGTTATCGGAGAACTCTCTCGTCCCCTCTGAGTAATATCAGGGAAATGATTTCACTCTTACAGTTTCAGACTAAGACGTCTGACACATTTGATTTTGCTAGGTCCCCAAATGTTATAGATCATCCAAAATTCCCAGCTCAACCAATGATGAATGTGTTTGGTTATAAACAGAAGACAAAGATGACAGTCAAATTATTTGCAACTATATCAGTTAGCAAAGAATTCCAAGAAAAACTAAAGTATATCTAATTTACTTCACTATGGACAAGTCAGGGTTATAAGGAAGAAGTGAATTTCATCTTTGAGTCAGCAAGGGTCCCCTTACCTTATCCCCTTTAAGAAATGTAATCCGCGAAGAATCTGCATTTTTTCTCTCCTCAAAGTCCTCCATGACCTGAGCTGAATGGCTCCGAGTGTAACACCTCACTGACGACTCATAGCTCAGGTCACCACTCCGGATAATGGGAATGTGCAGAATTCCCTCCTTCTCCTTCACTAGGAGCGAATCCTTGGCAAACTGCATGCTGGGTACTGGGCAAGCCATGGAGAGATGGAGGCATGGTCAGTGGGAGGTAGAAGATGCAGCAGCGACAACACAGCTCCATTGGAGGCAGGCTGGCAAAGCGCAGGTGCTAAGGGAATCTGAAGCATGGATGTTGCTCTTAGAACAAGACCACCGCTGCTACTGTGAGTGAAGCCAGTGACCTAAACTAAGTCAACTTTGCACTTATCTTTACTCAGCCTCAAAGAGCAGTTACTTTATCAAATACAGGCAAGGAACATGAGGAAATAAATGGAACAAATGTAAGAAAACTGTGACAGTGATTTGCATACTAACAAGAGCCCACTTTCCTCCTATGGCTATGATAAGAGAAAAACATGTCTGATTTAGCCCCTCCCCTAGGTCCTGGGGGCAGGGAGGCAACAGAGAATAGAGATGCTGGCAAAGAATAAAAATTAAGGACTCCATCCTTTTGTTGCCAGATCTTACTTAAAAAGTAAGCCAGAGGGGCTGGAGAGATGGCTCAGCAGTTAAGAACCCCGAACGTTCTTTCAGAGGATGCAGAGGATTGGGTTCAATTCCCAGCACCCACATGGTGGCTAACCACCACCTGTAATTCCAGTTCCAGGGGATCCAATGCCCTCTTCTGACCTCCGTAGGCATTGCATGACAGGGGTGCACTTACCTACATGTAGGCAATACACTCATACACATAAAACAAACATAATAAATAAAATATTTTTTTAAAATTAAGCCAGAGATCTAAATTTTTCTCCTAAATAAAAAAATAAAATAGTACAAAGAAATTCCATCAAACCATTTGAATCAAACAAAATGTACTGATAGGTTGAATTTCACAAATCATCATTGTTCTGTGATCAGCGCTATGGACCTGATGAACTCATCTGACTTTAGGAAGACCCCTAACCAATGGTGGTTAAAAACTAGGGACTGAGAGTACACAGGTCTGAACTTCCAGACCAGCTGCATGGCATTAGGCAAATCATGTAGACTTTCTGAACCTTGGGCTTTAAAAAAATTTTTATTTATTATTTTTATTTTATGAGTATGCGTGTATTGCCTGCACGTAGGTAAGTGCACCTGTGTCGTGCAATGCCCACGGAGGTCAGAAGAGACTGTTGGATCCCCTGGGACTGGAGTTACAGACAGTTGTTAGCTGCCATGTGGGTGCTGGGATTCATTCTTCTGTGAGAACAACCAGTGTTCTTAACCACTGAGCCATCTCTCTAGCTGCTGAACCTTGGGCTTTTAAAACATGTAAAGCAAACACATAAACATCCCAAAGCAGCTGGGGTACCGGATTTCAGGAGCTAATACAGGCATGATACTCAGTACAGCATTTGACTCACAGGAGTCACTCAGATTTTGGTAGGATTACTGAATTTGGGGTTACATTTGCCTGCTAGCTTCAGGCTTCTCTAGCCAGAGAGCTCCTTTTTCTTACTTCCTCAGCACACACTGTAATTCTCTACATTAAGACATTTCCCCAAGTCCAACATTTGCGTTATTATTTTTTCCATGAAGAATGCAAAGAATTATATGTCAAAGTCTCCTGAGGTGAATTTTGTGTTTAGAGCTGTAGGAAAGTGACCCTAATGCTGTAATCTCCATTTTCCTGGCTGCCTCTGCATGTGCCCTGCCAGATTTGAAAGGAAGGAGTGCTGGGAGCAGCTAACCACTCTGCAAGCTCATGCCTAGAAAGTTCTGTTTGCTTCCAATCAACTCTCAGAAGTGTTGGCTCTAGTAAAGATAAACCCATTCCATCATCTGGACCAAGCATACTAGTTATCAATTATGAACCAATAAAAGATAGAAGACAGCTCTTCAGACAACTGTACCCTTAAAGCAAAATTAAAGACTGCACATTAACCAGGTAGGGGCCTGCCATGCACTGTAACATCCTGTACTGTTAAAAGGAGGCAGTGACCCAGCACAGGAATGCCGAAGGAGGCGTGTTGTCAGGGGAAGAGCCAAGCAAGGAGGAAACTGCTCTGCTTCTGGCAGGTGTCAAAGCTTTAGAACGGATTTTGTTGCTGGCCTGGCATGCCTCAAGTCAGATGAGAAAGCCAAAGGCTAAAGTGGTCATGTTTTCTCATGCATGAATCAACCCTAGATTCCTCTAGAGCTGTAAAGATTCCTCACTTGCCCTCTTGAAAGATGCTCACTCACTTCTATTCCTAACTGCTGGAGGGTGGGAGGGGTGGACACGTCTTCTGACTGCCTGCATAGAGACAATCCTTGTCTTTCAGAAAGCCCCAGTCAGCAGGAGGCTGACAAGAGATAATCAAGATAGCAAGGTGAGTGCGGAACAGGCAGGGAGCAGAGCTGGTAGTGTATAGATCACGCTTTGTGTTAGGGACTCTCATACATATTGATGGCATTCTATTAACCATTTTGCAAGGCAGTGCAGTCATAGGAAGGGGCAACACTGGCCAGGAGACTGGGCTTTCCAGGACCCAGGTACTCTGGTCCTCTCTTTGTACTGATGGGGTACATGAATACCAAAGAGAAGTTATCCCCTCAAAGCACATGGGCTTGCAATGGTTATAATGCACTTATGGTCAGCACATTCATTGCACCAGTATATTTGTATAAGCCTTGCATACAGAAATAGACCCTGTTTTCTGTTACTCTGTAGCCCATACAACAGTGAGTACCAAGTTTAGGAATAGAAAATGTTCCATAAACACTTTTACTCTGCTAATCTTTTGAGTCTCTGACAAAGTGAATGCAACACCGAAGCCTGGGATATGATGGCCTCTTTATCAGCAATGTTTAAGTTGGAGACTGAGCAGAAATTCCACCTCCGATTCTTTGGAGTTAATGAGTAAGTACTACTCAGCTGCATACACAGAGCACAGTGATGTCAGTGGCTATAAGTCCTTTCTCGTCTGTCTCAGCCAGCCTTACTCATGTATACATTAGAGTCTAATTTCAGAGACCTGAGGGAAGAGGGAGATAAAAACCTGAGACAAGTTCATCAGAGGATTTAGGGTCCCAAGTTCAACGCAGTGGGAAAAGATGAAAGGACCCAAGAGTACACTGGAAGGGTGAAAGCAGATTTTATAAGGCTCTTGATGTCAGCAGACATTGCTACCTAGAGGGCAACTGTTGACTAAAACTACAGTGTGAAAAGTCAGCAAGGCAGGATGTGGACCCAGAAGGCAGGACCTAAATGAATCAGACCTGAGTTTTCACTCTGGCTCTGTCACCTTCTCTCTATCTAATCTGAAACTATTCAACCTCAACAGCACAACTTGAATGGCTATTGTGAAGGTTACAGACCATATTTCTAAGATCTTCATACCTTAAAATGTTCATATTGAGTGGCTTTGATAAAAGGTATCATAGGGAAGAAAGATAAACAACACAATTATTAAAGTAGATTGGCATTTCTTTCCTGGGGTAAACGCTCAGCATAAAGGCTATATGTGGCAGCCTTCCTACTACATGAGAAATATTTTGTTTCACATATTAAATTCATAAGATTGCAATCCCAACATCTATCAATAAAAGACCAAGGAAAATGCAAAGACTTCTCTTTGTTGATCAGTGTGCAATGAGAACTGTATGTGTTACTGGAGTCTGGTTGGTTAATATGATAAACTACAGATGTGTCAAGAAGACTTCGACATGCCAGATTACAGAATTCATTTATATGACTTTTTGAGGAAAGCAAAACTTCAAGGACAGAAACCAGATACACAGTTGCTAGGGTTTCAGTTTAGTGAAAGACTAACTACAAAAGGCTGTTGGAAGTGTTCGACATCTTTATGACGGTGCCGTGCATATCACTGCCTGCATTTTCCAGAACTCTGAAGAACCATTCACCCTTTTTAGTGTACATCTTTTCATTTGTGCAAGTTATACTTCACTAGTGGTGGATACATGTGTATGTACATAAACATACAGGTAAACCCATGAATGTGTATAAATAGGCACATATATAAATACACATTCTTCAAGAAGGATGAACACAAAAATTGATAGTATGATTGTTTCCAGCAGGGAATCTGGAAGACTGGAGGAAAGGTAGACGAGGGATTAAATTTTCATAGTGTATCTTTTTGTCAGCTGCATTTTGACTGCTACACACATGGTATAAGTTACTTAAAGATGAATGGAAGCATCAAAGATTACACCGTGGGCTGCCTCTTCTTTTACAGGCATTTTCCACCACGAGAATGGTTTAATACTAGTTCTGCTGTCAGCACTGTGGCTGCTGATGACAGTCCTCCTGCCTTAGGTGGAAAGTGTGATGATCTTCTCCTATGACCCCTTGAACTTACACATGGATGCTGAAGTTCTGAACACTCCAATTTCCTTCAGCTCCTCCTGAGAAGCAATTGTCCTTTTCTGGTTCACTTAGGTTCCACCTTCGGTGGTGACCGATATCTTGTTCATATATCGCTCTCTATTTATTTGTGCATGTCATTTTCAAAACCACTGATAATAGTTTTCTAAACTAAAGATCACACCACGCCTCTTCTCATTGTATTGATTGCTCTCCTCCGCTTACACAGTCCTTTGACTGGGACTTAAGATCTGGAACTTGACTCAACCCATCTTCCCATTCCTATCTGTACTTACCTACTGCCATGTTCAAGGCAGAAGCCAATATTTTATGGTTCCCCAAACGTGTATGATTTTCATTATTTTACACTTTATATATACCATACCCCTCCATTTTAAACAGGCTTTCTTTTATTATCCATGGCTAAAGTCTTATCACACCTGAGACTGCTTTAACACACTGCATCCCTTGTGCAATCTATACTAGATGATGAACTTATTGAGTTCAAGGTCTACTGCTTATGCATTTCTTTGCACCTAGCAGGGTATTGGCAACATGAGTGATTACCTCCTACTATACATGTGTTTGCACATATATGTATGCATACATATTTCTTGAATAAAAATATGAATGTATTATAATATAACATGCATGGGAGTTAAGAAAAACATAGAAATATGCTTTAAACCAGCAGCTGGCATCCTCAATAGCTTACCATCCTGGAATGTGTCATTAATTGCAATGATAGCCTGAAAGGGTTTGGTTAGTTCGGCTCCTTGTGCTGAGCTGAGGAAAACCACGAATGTCTCCAGTCCTTCAATTACTGGGTATTGAGTGTCATCCAAGATAGTCAAAGTGCAGCTCTGGAGGATAAATCAAAGCACACTTCACACAAGGCTCAACACCCAACATATACATCTTTCTTTGGTGGTCTTAAAATCAATTTCCTTTTCTTTAAATTCATAACATGATCATCTCATTATATTCCTGGGAGCTTGTTTCTAGATACTTACATCAAACAATTTCTATTCTAGATCTGCATCACTGAATATGTGATGGTAAAACAATCACTTGGAGAGTTTTTAGAAGATCCTGCCATGAATTTGTCTTCCTATTGGTACATTTTTAATGAATGAAAATTACATTTATTCACATATTTGCTTTATTCATTATTTGTGTGTGTGTGCATGTATGCTTGCACATGCATAAGTGGTGCCATAATACACATGTGGAAGCCAAAGGACAACTTGTGGGAGTCAGTACTTTCCTTTCACCATGAGGGTTTAACTTGGGCTGTCAGGCTTAGAGGCAAGTGCCCTTATCTGCTGAACATCCTCGCCTGCTCACATTTGTAGATGTTTTTAAATAAATAAGGACTGAAGGATTGCAAAGGCTTTTAGCAGCACCGAGAGACCTGGAAAACAGTCAGAAGACTATACTAGCAGCCATCCAGACTTTCAACTTTGAGGTGCTTGAACTGCTGTGGACTCACCTGCTCAGTGACACCTGGCCCGAATTCTACCTTCCTTGAGCTAGGGACATAATCAACTCCTGGAGTGGCAGAAGCTGGGTCTGAAGGTCGTGTTGCACACCAGACAGATGTGAAGGTAGAAAGGTCAGTGCCATGGCGGATAACTGGAATCTTCACTGTGCCTGGATTAAAATAATAGTGATTTTGATGGTTAGCCTTGAGCCAGAAAAATCACTGGACTTTTCAGAACACTGTTCTTTCTCATTGCAACAGTGATGGCTTTCCTCAGTCAGTGTGTATAATCCAACTTCAGTGATATTCCTCTATCCCCTCTGAAGAGGGCCAAGAGGTAATTTTTCTCCCTTTTTACTGACACTAAGATCAAGGGGAGATGCCCATGGGAGTGGTGCTAGAGAGACAGTCCTTGGAGAGAGCAGGTTTTAAGCACACCAGAGGGAAGATGTGCCACTGAGAAATGTCTGAGAGAGAAGAAACCCAGGGATGAGATCCCCACTTAGAAAACTGTCAGTAACAAGCTCAGGGACTCCATGGGCCTGGAGCTGGATGTTCCTAATTAAATGTTTTAAGTGTGTTGATCTTATTTTATCCAAGCAGCGCACACATCATTACTTAAACCATGTAGGCTAATTGCTAATTTTAGGAACAAAGCTCATCTTTTGAGCCACAGTGACATCATACTTTGTAGTATCCTAAAGATGTTTAATTCTTTTCACAACCATAGAGAAAAATTGGCATGTGAACCCCATCAGATACCATATCCTTGTGAGGTGACAGGTAGTCATGTCTGAGCACCTGGTACATGGTAAGGGTAACACAGAATAGCAGAAGGAACAGGATTCTGATCCAGATCTGCCATTAAATTAGCCACATAATCTTTGACCTCTCTTTGCTCTTCTCTGTAATGTTATCTGCTCCACTGAAGACTGAGAGAATACATGGACCACACATGGCATTGGGCCTGGTAGCATTCAGTATGTGTTAAAGAAATAATAACAATTCCCAATGCAACTGAGAATCAGGCCTTGATCTGGCTCAAATCAACAGACACTCAGCATAGCTGCTGTCCCCTCTGTCAGCATCCCATGAAAGACCAAGATCCTTGAGAGCCACAGGAGGACTAAGCTCCAAAATTCTACATGGAATAGATTTGACCACCAACTACTTTGGACTTCCATACAAGTGAGAAAGTTTCATTGGGAATTGATTGGTTTCATAAGTTTACAGTATACTAAATAACTCACATTCATCCTCAATGGATCACATTTTCCTCCTTCAAAAGCCAAAATGCTTAGCACCATAACCTCCCTTTGGACTCCCGAAGTCTGCCCATGCAGCTCCAAGTCATCCACCTCTCTGCCACTAACAATCAGAGCAAGAAAAATGGATAGAACTCTATTTTTCACCACCTTCCATTGTTAGTTTTGATGCCCAAGACCAATAATAGTGCCACTAACATGACATTCTCAATGTCTTGAGGACATTCTGCAAACATAAGAAGGAACATGTTCAAGAAAGGGAACCCTGGTGAGGTTTTCCATTACCTGCATCCTCGCTGACTGTGAAAGCTGTGTTGCCCAGGGAGACCGTGGAGGCGTCATTGGGACCACTAATAAGAATCTTGGCCACTGCCACCCTTCCAATGCGGGCATTGTCGGAGGCGTCAGCCAGGGCAATCTCAAACTCCTCTTCTTCTTCATACTCACTGTCATCAATGAGCATAACATCACATGTGGTCATGGTGACACCGGGTCCGAATATCACACGACTCTCAGCAGACCTCCCTCTGGACTTAAAATCAGAGCCTGATTCCAGAGCATAGAGGCTACTTCCCATAGCTGACTTAGGGACGGTGTAGCAAATAGCAGACACAATGCTGCTCGAGTCTCCTGAAATACACATGGCAAGAAGGCCGGGCCATGAGAACAAGTACATGGCACATTTCAGAATCTCTAGTAACTTAACAAGCTTTCATTCTGACACATTCCATCGCTATTGCTGTTCAAACTCTGACAGGAAAACTTTCTGAGCTGTAGCTTCTATTAAGCCCGTGGTATAAATCGCTTGAGGATTTAATATACCCCAGATACTTTCCCAAATAACTTAAAATGGATTTCCTACTCTGTAAATTTTGTGCTCTGTTAATTCACAAGACTCATTGCCCACCATCTAAGACCACAGCGGGTGGAGAGATAAGAGGCATATTTGGTACTTTAAGTAGCAAAGTAATTGTGTCCTGAAGGTAGTGTGATGAGCACAGTTCACTGCCTTTCTGAAGAAACTTGTGCACTTTAATTCCCCGAGAGAAACAAGCTTATTTAAAAAAGGAAAGACAAAACAATATAAAACTTGCCTCCATACAAATGACTTTCCTTATTAGTGCTGCCACATCCCATGGTGACAGCCTGCTCTAGGCCTGGCTTGGTGGCCCAGAGCAATCAATGGGGCTTGCTTGTCTTCTGAGTGGTTATTTACCAAGGTTTTGTGCTACCCGAAGTGTTTACTACACTAATACCCAGTCAGCAGATTCAATAAAGAAAGCTGACATCATCATTTACATTCATGTGGCCTTGAAAGGGGATTTCATTTCTATGTGCTTCAAAGTCAATATTGCACAATCATAAATTCATAATGTCTTTGTTTTGAATTTCCATCTTTTAAGAATTGCCCTTTATTTCCCATAGATAGTTTATTTTTCATCTGAGCATTATATACGACATCTAGGCAAGGTAATCTGTAAGTATATTTTCTGTCTTCCAAAAACTGAGATTTGCCCAAACATAACTTTTTTCCCTGACCACAGTTACTAAATATTTTATGAAATAGGTGATTGATTAAAAAGACTGAGTTAATGAATAATTTGCAAGGCTAATTATTTCTAACAGTCCTCATATCTACTTTCAGAATAAATGGTCCTCTACTTCCACTAAGGAGAGAGGCCTTCTGATCAGGGCTCAAGGCAGGTGGAATCAACACTACAGTTCTTCTGGGGATGCAGCGGGTCAATACATAGAAACACATATGGGTTAGTATGAAGTATGAGCCCTTGGCACACAGAGGGCATTCAATGAATACAAGCTGTTATTATGGCTTCTTGTCATCTGTGGCACCAACAGACCTTTTCTTTCAATAGGTGCAAACAGGAAACCAGCACTCTCATTGACCCGGTAGGTCTTCTTATCAAACTCCAATGTGGGCTCATCCTCGGTGTCATTGATAATGACCTTCGCTTGGGTGAACTCCCCTAATAGGGCATATGCTGGCATGCTGAGCTCCACAGTGAAACTTTCAACATTCTCAAACACATCATCATCGTTGATGACAATGGTGCAGGACTTGGTGTCCTCTCGCTCATCAAACTGCACCTGTCATAAAAGAAACAGCAGGAGTTAAACTGTGCCTCACCTCGGCATCCCCTGCTTCAGTTCCCTCAGAGTACGGTGAAAAAAGAGCACCTAACTCCAGTGGGAGGAGAACTGCATGACACAGCTGGTTCTTCTGTCTCCAGCTCTCTGCTGTCCTGCCTGCAGCACTTAAACACCCCTCCCCATTCTTTATCTGTACAGTGAGGTCCAATTATTGTATTAGGACATGCAGGGCAAAGAGACCTCCTGCCACTCATGGTTGTAAAAAAATTTATAATAATTACTCATGTTCTTTTATTAATAGTTCTCATTTTGTTATTCAGTGCCTGTTCTAACTGAGGCAAGTTTAACCAGAAAGATCTCTGATCTTTGAGTAAGAAGTTTGAGTTTCAGGTGCTAATTCTGGTTCCAACGTGGGCAAAGTAATGAAAGTTTATGAACATCAAGTTCTCAATCAATTAATAACAATATTTATCCTACTTTACATATTAGGAAGACTAGAGAAAACCATATATAATGAAAGTACTAAGCACATTTTAAAACAGTGAACAACTATAAGATATTATCACCACCAAGACCATATTACTTATGTGAACCAACATTAACAATGAATCTTGCTTCACTGAATAATGGAATTTGAATTCATAGTAAGATACTTAAACATACCAGGATAATCTTCACTGTATTAAGACTAAATCTTTTGTCATTAAAATGGGCTATAACTATAACATGGATGAATGTAGCCTGGTACAATACAGAGAAATTATTTTATGTGCACACAATTGTGAACATAACAAGTATTTTTCTGGTTATATCCTTCTATAAAAAGAGAAGAGGGGGAAGAGAGGGAAAGAGAAAGGAGGGGGTAGGAGAATATGAAGGATGGTAAAGCCTTCAGACAGAAAAAGAGATATGCACTTGCCCAAACTGAAGGAATAGGAAATGGACCTGGTCTGTAGTCTATAAAAGTGAGGCAGCTGAAATAAGTATGCACAATAGTCAGGAGCCTCAAGGGCCACCTAAATCTGAAAACCACATAATTTTAATCAAACAAAATTATTAGTGCATATCTAATCAGCTGATCAAATTCAGTTTTTACTAAGCTCTGTATTTGAAAATGCCCCACGAGAAACAAAATGTTCATTAGATTTCTACTTAAGATCTGAAGCCTACTAACAGCCTTTTGTCTTTTCTTGAAAGACTCAAGTTCCCTTTGCTAAAGACCTCTTAACTTCTAGGTTCTTTTCTATGTTATTGGATGTAAGAGGCTTGGATTCAGTTCAGATGATTCCTGAACTTAGTGAAGGGACACTTTGTTTTACAAAGCTTTGATTTGAAAAGTGAAACTGACTTGAAAAAAACTGAGTAAATACCTATCAACTCCCAAGGGAGAAAGGAGTTAATTATCCGCTTACCCCTACTCATGTCAAGCATGCACTGCACCACCGACTTGCACCCCGTATCCAGCCTCCTCACCTCTCACTCTCCTTTTTCTTTCTCATTGCCACCCTGGAGGTAACAGAGATGGCTGGGAAATGTCTCCATAGGCCAGATTCTTTCTCATTACCTGCCCATCTACATGGGTCAACCTGTTGTTTCAAAGGCAACTCATACTCAGCATGTCCAAGGCAAAAATAACAGCACTAAACCTTGTCGAACTGGATCTTTCCGGCTGTTCATTCCCTCCTGGCAAGAGGCAATGTCATGTGCTTCTTCCTTTTGCCATTCTCTAAATCTTCCTTTTGCCATTCTAAATCTTATCAGCTCTAGGAATTGAAGCCCCTATCCCCTCATCTCTCACCTAGCCTCATCCCTACTGCTTTGCCTGCATGCTCTCTTCCCTCCCTCCAGAAAGGAAGAGTGAGGATACCCAAGGTTGGGTGTAGAACATGATGCCTCACAGAGTTCTTACCATGGAACAAATGTAAACACCAAGAAGCCAGGTGACAACTTAAGGTCTGAGAGCTAATACTTCAACTGAATGTGCAGAACAAAGCACTGTGAGCGGGAATAAGGGAAATTACTTGAGGAAGGATGCTAATGGAGAGGGGCTAAGTAAGGGGGAGAAGGCGCACAATAGCCTGCAACTGTGCCCCAGGAATGAGCGGTCCCCACTGCACCTACCTGGCCAGCATACTCCACGTAGTCTTGATGTCCAGGATGGGAGCTGACCCTGGAGCTGGAACTGGCTGTACCTTGTTCAGTCCGACACAGGACGATGGCATACTGATTTAGGTTCCCAGTCCTCTGCACTGTGACACTGACAGACCCTGCCTTCTCACTGACATTGTAGCTAGAAGCAGACAAAAAGTCAGGTTCTGAAAATCTGTCCCAGGGCTGTGAAGAGGCCACTTGCCCAGTGCCTTTCTCTGCTGTTTGGTCATCAGTGTTGGGCATTTCTGAGGATGGGCAGTTTAATGCCTTCAAGAAGCCACATAAATAGATGGAACATGCTTTCAGGGAACAGTCACTGCCCAAGTGAACAAGGGTACTAGGGATAAAGCATGCCACCTGCTCATTTTGAAGGAGATTTGAGTCATTCGGAAGATGGACATTGCATAGGAGCTACCAACTTCAAAATTCAGAACATGGAAAAATGACAAATTAACCTTTCTCAAGTAGGCAAAATAATCAGAATAGGCCAGTGGGCTCTTAAGGATGGAGTTGCTTAGAAGGCTGTTAGTGATTTATCTTATTCACTGAACAAGATTTGCAGGATATGTGGAAAGGAACCAGGGTAGTTTCTAAGGTTGAGCTTAGGGAACAAAGATGTTTAGACAGAATTTTATGATGTATGTATAAGGATGGGGTGGGGATTTAGCCTAATGCTAGGGATTTGGATCGAATGTGTCCAGTAAGAAGCCAATTATTTATATGCTATTAGGTAATTGTAAATAGGGTTAGAAAAGCCACAGCCATTGGGCCTGGCATGTGTCTCATCATTTCGTGTGTTTTAAACAAAATGCCCTTAAGAGGTTAGATCTCCCTGTCAACTTTGAAAGCCACTGCATCACTTAATCCATTAGATATTAGAGGGGTCAACAAAAGGGATCCATTTTACTGAAATTGTTTAATTCAGAAGGTGATACAATCAAGAGGTAAACAATAGTAAATAGCAAAACACTATATATTTTATAGTGGATTATGACTTTTCTGTAATTCTCCAAGTATGTGTCAGAATGGAAAGGCTGTATCTGGTGCCCCTGAAATCAAGTTCATATGTCTTTTTCACACTATGTCCTAATTAGCATCTGAAATGCTAAGAAATTGGTGTCTTAGATTAGTGAGTCTCCAAAATGCAGATTCAAAAATTATTATCTTTAGAATAATAATCCTAGGTATAGTTTAACCTATAAAATCAATACCATGTTTGTCCATCACCTTTACTGACTATCAGTTCTCACTCTTCAACTCTCCAACAGATGAGAAGAATATCCCAAAGAGCCCACAAATTTGATGTACAATCTTCCGACAATCAAAAGATCTATGGAGGAGCATAAGCATGAGAGCACAGGGACAGAGATGCCAGGCAGGCGCTGCTAGTGTGGGCCAGCGCCTCTTCTCAAAGCTTCAGTGCCCCTTTTTTATTTTTTCCTACAAGTTCTATTGGAGTATTTTCTGCAAGTTGAGGACAGAAGCAGAAACATTCAAGAGTGGCAGTGAAGGACAAAGGTTAAGATCACCGGGCTTCAATTCTAGTCTTATTGTTTATTAGCTACATGACTGTGGGTAAGTCACTTAGCCTGTGTCTTCTCTATGCCTTCCTGCTGTGGGGCCAGGAGGAAAATTCATGTCACAATTGCAAGCAAATATGATGACATATGTTGAAAATGCAGCTAGTGCCTGGTATATATGTTATTTGATACATATTTCATGCAATTATTTTAATCATTGTTATCGCTAACATCACGTTCACTACTTACTACCACTACCACCACCATCACCATCACTGTCATTATCATCAGCGGTAGCTGGTGACTAGACCTGACTTTTGTTGTGCTTCATCCTAATGTCTTCCATTTGTTCCATTCAGTTTTCTATACACAAGACATAATGACACATGTACCTGGTATACTTAAAGCTGATGAGGGACCACTGGATATGGAAGACATTATCGTTGACCACATTGGGTTTACTGTCTTTCACCAGGAACTGAAAACTATCCATCACTTCTTGGATTTTTTCCCCGTGCAACACATAACGAATCAACCCCAAGTTTATATCCTCTAGGAGAAAAAAAAGAGTCACATTGAATTCATTATGAGTTATCTGAAGATATAAAGACAGCCTCACAGGTCCCACACTAACACATCAAATTTATTCTTCTAATGGGTTCTAGGAACTTCTTTTTACAAAAACATAAGTATAATAGTCTTAAAAACAAATGTTTCTTCTGGATTTAAAAAAAGACTTGCAGCTCTGTGCACAAAAAAAGAATCCCACGGTCTGGACAGAAATCACCTCAGTAAATGTCTTGGAACACTGAAGGACAAATGTGAAGGCTGACAAGACTTTGACTCCACCCAGTGTGTGTGTGGTCTCAAATTCAGCCTCCATTCCTTCTTTGAAAGGTTCTTTGGAAGGATTGTGCTAATAAGAAAAGCTGGGGTTCACTGAAACATCCCATACACACAGTTAAAAGCATGCCATACATGACTGGGGATTGGGATAGAAAAGGGAAAGAATGTGGAGTATGAATTTTAGGAAGCAGAGTTGCAGTACCTGGCCAGTGGTGCCCATCCTCAAGAAGTGTGACAAACCTACAAATAACCTGCTTTATGTGATTCAAAAAGTAAAACATTTCTGTGACGCAGCCTGTATATGTGGACTTTAATTTCTTGGCTGAAGATTTAAAAAATCCTCATAAAATAACAAAACTCTCATAGAGTCTGGCTGTTTTGTTGTTTGTTTTAAAAGAAAGCCAAGCAGTACCACATACCCTTTTCAAAAACCTGACTAAACCCAAGGGCAGAAAACAATGCTGAAGAGGAGTTTCTCTTTGCAATAGTTCAGAAAGCCAGGAAGAAAAGCAGGAGCAGAAACATCCATGAGGTGAAGAGTTGGGCACTAAAAGATCTATCTGCAAAAGTAGCTGCAAGCAGTTGCAGGAACGGTATGGGATACAGGGAAAGCAGCATTTGAACACACCTCCCATTCACAGGTTCCCAAGTCCCTACCCTGGGTGAAGGAGGCAGCAGCTCTGCCAGGCTGCAGCTTGTTCTCCACATAGCCATGCTTGGGGCCCGCTGTGATCTCATAGACAAGATGAAGGTCCTCTGTGTCCGGGTCCATGGTCAGCAGTTCTTTCTTGGTGATCAGATTGGTTGCCTGTAATAGAAACCCATTAAACCTAATTCCTGAGGTGGGAATTAAAGCAGGAGCAAGCCCCTCTGACTCAGATTTAATTCAGTTCCAGTGATTTACAGAGAGCATTTACTGCATCAAAAACTCTGTCAGGATGGGAGAGACTATGAAGATGGAAACTATCCTGACCATTGCCTGGGAGTTTTCACTTGTGATTTTAAAGAAAGTCTCCCGTGGCAGGTCAGTGGGCCCAGGGCTTACATGAAGTGAGCAGAGGGAATTGAGACTGCAGGATTTCAGTTTGGTCTTGGAAGGGGCTAGAAACTCGGGAAAGAATAATATAATGCAGAGAAGACAGCTATGATACACTTTATGAGAATCAGCTGCATGTTTGAAGTTGATTAAGATAAATACATTATACCCTGATAATACCCAAATATACCAGCTAAGCTTTAATTCACTCATTTATTCATTCAACACAGCAAGATCAAAATTCTAAGGGAAGAAAGGGTGGTGAGCAGTACTACATGTTAATGGGTTTAGTAAAACAAAGGGAGAAAATTAACTTTTGAATTTGACAAAATAGAGGATATTGGTAATTTTATTATACATTCGTTTACTGAGACAGGGTCCCATTATGTACCTTAGGCTGTCCTCTAACTTGAATACTCCTATACTGGTCTCCCAAGAGCTCAGATTACAGGCATGTGCTATTTTACCTGGCTGTTGGTAATAACTGTTATTACAGTAGAGAAGGAATGAGAAGTAATTGAAGAGTGATGATAAAAACAGCATTCTGTTTGAATATTGAGGGAAAAAATATCAAACAGGGCATAAGAGGAATTTGTACTGATTTGTTTTCTGTGTATACATGTGTTTGTGTATATATGTGTGTATGCATGTGTATATGCATGCTTGAGGGGGCCTAGAGGTCCACATCAGGTATCTTCTTCACTTGCTTTCCACATTAGTTTTTGTTTTGTATTTTTGAGACAGGTTCTCACTATGTAGCCCTAACTGGCTTAGAACTCACTGTACAGACCAAGCTGGCCTCAAACTCAGAGATTGGCCTCTCTCTGCTTCCCAATGCTCGGATTAAAGGCATATGCTAGCCTTTTGAGGGTCTGTCATTGAACTTGGAGCTTGCCAACTGGCCTAGGCTTGTTGGCCAGTGAGCTCCAGGGATCCGCTTATGTCTGCCTCCAGTGCTGGGGATACAGGCATGCCTTGGCACACCCAACTTTTTACATAGGTGCTGGGAATCTGAACTTAGACCCTTAGGACTGACTTTATTGATTGAGCCATCTCCCTGGTCCCCTGTTTTTATTTATTTTAAGAAATTTAACAGTTCAGTGGGATGCTACAGCACACTAGCTTCATACAGTGCTAACTAATCGACTCCACGAGGAGGCCACAGCACAGAGAGAATACAACTGACCGAAGGCCGAGGTCACTTCTGAATTGAAGGAAGAGATGTGCAGGTGCTGGGTGGAGATGAGGACTTAGTGTTAATTTGCTACTAGATCAAAGCAATGGGACACACCTTAAAATGATGCATTTGGTAATTGGGAGATAAAGAAATCTCTAAAGTGGACTTCCCCTGAGGACATTTGCCTACAGAAATGTCTGCTTCTTTTTATCTAGGGCAAACATTTAATGTTCCTCAAAGTCCGTTCTCCCCTTCTCCCAATTAACAAAATTTTAGCTCAGCACCTGTCTGCCGAGCCAGAGACACTATTTCCCAGCCTCCCTTGAAACATCTGTACTCATCTTATCCAATTTCTTTCCTATAGAATGTAAGTGGGAATGACAGGCTCAATTTCTGTATCTCTAGTTTAAAACAAAGGCCCTTGTCCTGGACTTCTGTTTTACCCTTTCCTTGAGCTGGACTGCTGATGAATTTCTGATGAAATCTGGCTGTATGTCCAATGGCAGGCACCTAATGATGGGTGGTGGCAGTGGGGCAGGCGGGAGGCACCTGCACCTCTCAGGGATTAGGTACAGCCCTGCTGGTCACTTACTTGTATGTGATGTGTAATATAAAAATGTCTCTCTTGTCTACCTGGCTGTATTTTAGGGGCCTTTTCGTAAGAGTATATTAAACTACACACAATCTTAACTGATCATATTCAACCTTAACTAGTGAAGAATTCTAACTGAACTCCTTGGGCTCACCAGTCTCAGGGAAATCAGGACACAGGGCAATGGTAAGCACATGAGTTGAGTTGGAGCTCTACTGGTAAGCTGCTGTCACAAATGAAGACTGATTTGACACTGTGGATGTGGCCGATGGGATAGGACTTACCTTGCCATCCATATACTCCAGCCACTGGAGTCCCAGGTTTGTGACAATTCTAGGGGTGCCATCATCAACTGGGAGGATGTCCACTCGGAACTGCTGAGGTGCTGCTGTCATGATCTGTAGGAAGGCCAGAAAAGCATTCACATGGACACTGAGTTTCCAGACCCTGAGCCTAAAAAGTAAGAACCCCTGAAGTCTGTGTGCACAGTAGAGATGAAGCATGGGCCATGGAGCTGGCTTTCACCTCTTATCACAACTGGCAAGAGGCCTCAGGGAGAGTGATGATTGACAACACAGAGGCAGAAGCAAAGGCATTTCTGCTCAACCTCATCTGCTGCAGAAGTTGCCTTTCACATGCTTGTGCTCTATTTTATTATTATTACTATTATTATTATTATTATTATCATCATCATCATCATTATTTGAGATGTAGCCTTGCAGCATTGCCCAGACTGGTCTTGAACCCTTGAGCTCAAGTAAGCATTCCACTTTAACCTCTTAAGTAGCTGGGACTAAAAGCATGTGCCATTATACCTGGGCACACTTGTGTCTTCTATAGTTGATGTGATGTCATGATGTTAGACTCAGAAAGACAACTATTTACATGTTTTCTCTCATATATAAAGTCTAGGTTTCAATCCACATACACACACATACATACATACATACATACACACACACACACACACACACACACACGCACACGAAAGTAGAAAGGGGACCTTGAGCAGGGAGGAGAAGGTCTAGATGGAGCAGGTATAAGAGAGGGTAATGAAAATATCTGAGGGCATGGTGGTGTACACCTTTAATCCCAGAGGCAGAGGCAGGTGGATCTCTGTGAGTTCAAGGCCAGCCTGATCTACATAGTGAGTTCCAGGACAGCTGGGGCTGCAGGGAGACCCTGTCTCAAAAAGAAAAAAAAAAAAAAAAAGATCTGAGAAGAAAGACAGTAGGAGTATTTGGGAGCTAGGAGGGAGCACAGAGGGGGACAAGGCAGGGTAATGGGGTACAAATAAGAAAAAAGTATAAGACATATATGCATGAAAATGCCATAAAGAAAACCTTCCCTTTATATGCTAATAAAAGGTTAATAACCAAAATGAAATGAAAAAAAAAAACCAAAAAACCTTTGCCTAAGGTAAAACAATACACAGATATTTCCCCTCAATATCCTTTGCCAAGGTTTTCGGAGAGACTGGCAAGCATCATGACTGAATGTTAATGCTGAAGTCTCCAGCTGTGATCAGATCAGACATGAAGAGAAGTTTCTGTGGGGCAGGGTTTTCCTTTTTCTTCCTTTCCCTGTTTTTTGTTTTTGTTTCTTTTGAAGGAAAGTGGTCCCTATGGTGGCAAGATGCAGAAGAATCAAGAATGAAAAGCAAAACCATTTGTGGAATAGTGAAAAGGAATTTATATTATAAGTTCATTATGGCACGCACACACACACACACACACACACACACACACACACACACACACACAGAGAGATCTAAGGGACACATGCATTGAGTCTTATCCAATACCCGGCCTATCCTAAATGTGTACATGTCAGAACGCAGGGCAGCAAGATGCTACTCTTTCAGTGTCCTACCCCTTCTACACAATTTCCATTTCTAAAATGACACAGTCCCTCAGAAGACCTGCTCTGACCTTTAGGTTTTTAACAGGGGTAGCCCTCTTGCTGATACATCTTGAAATCTTTTTTTCTCTTTTGAAAGTCAAGCTAACTGGGAGCAGCTACAGTGGGAGAAAAAAGACAAAGTGATAGACAGCCTGGCAGGCGGCACTGGAGCACAGAAGAAATCCGAAGAGCCACCTACAGATACAGTGACTGGCTGAGGATGACCTCCTGTGTCTCGAAAGAATACAGGAGGATCTCCCTTCCAGAAAAATATCCAATAGTAGTATAGGAAAGAAACTTGCCAGGACCTCACAGTGTCCTGGAGTTACAAAAGAGCGTGTGCACACTGTTCACCAATACGAATGTGTGAGGTGCTGGGTGCCCCCAGCCCAGCTTCCACCAGAGATTTGGTTAACTACAGGGGTAATTTAAGACTCGGCGGAGACCTGCTGAGGAAGGACTGAGTAAAAGGCGAGGAAGGCAGTGGGTGAGAAGTCTGAACACCTCTCATTTTATGTGTGTCTTTATATGTTGGTACACACAGGTGTTCCTATGAGTGCGTGTGTATGCATCCGTGTATGTGAAAGCCAGATGTCAGCCTCGGGTGCTGTTCCTCAGTCGCTATCCACCTTGTGGGTTTGTTCCCCACTTTTCAAATTGTATTTTTACAAATTTCCTATATTCTGATCGTAATTAGAACCCCTAACTTATCTGCATCCCCCTTACTACTCCCAACCTGATTTCATGTGCTCCCGTGTGTGTGTGTGTGTGTGTGTGTGTGTGTGTGTGTATTTTAAGGCCTACAGAGTCAAATTTGTGTCCTCAAATGCCCTTCAGTGTAAGTTCATTCATTGGAGCCTGGTTAACCTACCAAGAGTCACATCCTTAAAAGAGACAGACTCTCCCCACACCAAGCAGCCATCAGTTGCCAAAAGTTCCTGAGGTAAGGCTGGGGTTTCTTACCCACTTCCTCACATTCATGCTGGGATTTTTTCTGGCTTGAGCTTACAGGAGTCTTGTGCATGCTGTTACCATTACTGTGACTTCATATGAGTAACTTCCCAACTGTCTAGAAACTCTGTTTCCTTGTAGTCATCCATCACCTCTGGCTATTACTGGTAGCTCTTTCTAGGTCCTCTTCTCAATGATCCCTGAGTTTTAGGAGTCAGAATTTTGATACAGGTGTCCTATTCAGGAATAAACACTATGCAGCCTCTTATTCTCTGCACATTAACCAGTTGCAGGGTTTTGTGTTAATCACCATCTACCGCAGGAGGAAGCTTCTCTGAGATGCATTAATCTACCCCTTGTGTTTTGAGATAGGGTTTCTTACTGGGACCTGGGGATCACTGATTAGGTTATGATGGTTGTCGAAGGAGCCCCAGGGATCAGCCTCTCTCCACTTCCCCAGTACTGGGATAACAAGTGCAGACCTCTATGCTGGTGTGGGTTCTGTAGCTAGAACTCAGATGCATAGCAAGCACATTCCTCCTCCTCCTCCTCCTCCTCCTCAGTCATTTAGGAAATAAAACTGAGCAGTTGTATGACCTCAAGAGAAAGTGTCTTACGGTATGTACAACTGGTCCTAAAATGATGACAGTAAAGATGACCGAAGCTCCATACTGAGTCTCTGGTGCTTCCCTGGATCTGACATGGAGCAAAGGGCCTCACATACATCAGGAGGAGAGGTATACTCCCACTTTACAGATAGGGAAGCTGAGATTTACAAAGATAACAGGACTTACTGATAAGTGACAGAGCCAGAATTTAAGTCAGAATCTTCTGAGAGAAATAATCTCACTATTATTTGAGTCTCTAGTTAGACTGAGGAATCTTAGTTCATAAAGAGAAAGAGAATCTGGAGCCATATATTACTGAAATGCTTTTTTTTTTTTTGGAAGAAAAACTCAAGAAATAAAGAGTAGGCAGAAGCTAAGGAGAAATAGTAATAGCCACTTTCTCTTACTGAGGGCTCACTATTTCCCAGTCATGTCAAGTACTTTTCAGGATCAGCCCTTTTGATCTTTAGATGAAGAATTTGAAGCTGGCAGTCTTCGCTGTGCCATTTTATAGGTGGAAAACAGACTTAGAGAAGTAATTTTCCCAGTCAATACACTACAAGTTAATGGAGTAAGAACCCAGCACCATGCCACATGCACACATTCCCATGCTGCCCCTGGGATGCTCTGCTAGGTTTTCTCTTCTACCTTTGGGCCTCACCTCTTTTCCTCCCTCCTCAATGATAAAGAAGGGGTTGGTTCCATCAGAAACGGTGAAACTAAATCGGTCTTTGATGGAGTTGCTACCATCATGGCTGTAGCTGACCCGGTTCTGGTAGATATCTTCCATGGTGAAGGAGGAGGCGAGGCGGAAATGTTGTCCCCTGGTGGTTCTCTCGATAGTGCCATGGCGTGGGGGCTGCACAATGGTGAAGGTGATAGAATCAGCCTGTCCAAGAGGGAAGAAGCAAGAGGCAAGTTCATAGCAGAAGTGGGAAAAGTGAGCTACGCCTAGGAGCTGGTCAAAGGAAACAGAGCCTAAAGCCATGTTTCAAATACAGGCTGTATTTTGTTTACAGACACCAAACAAAACTATAGGCAGAAACTACCTTCTCTACTACAACTGGACTTATATCCTAGAGCCTAAAGGCACTAAGTATTTAAGCTTATTCTCTCCAGGCCACATGAGGCAACCTGAATTCATTCTCTCTCTCTCTCTCTCTCTCTCTCTCTCTCTCTCTCTCTCCTCTCCTCTCCTCTCCCCCCTCTCTCCCTCTCTCCCTCTCTTAAGCTTATTCTCTCCAGGCCACATGAGGCAACCTGAATTCATTCTCTCTCTCTCTCTCTCTCTCTCTCTCTCTCTCTCTCTCTCTCTCTCTCAGAGAGAGCAGGACTGTAATGGAAACCACCGCTTTCAAATCAGGCATGAAGGCAAAGTGGAAGATCACAACTTTATTCTTGATCCTGCCAGCAGCAGGCTCAGGGGCGAAATCTCCAAAGCCTGAGCAGCAGGCAGCAGTTTCTTACACTATTTATAGATAATTCAGCATCATTTTGGTCCCACTTCAGCATTGGTGAGCTTGAATTCCTGCCTACATGACTATGGACCAGTCCCAGGGGTCTCTAACCTATAGGTCAGAGGAGCTATGAGCTGGAATTCCTAGCAAGTGTATTTACAAACACATCATACAGTTGTTTTCCTAAGCAACAGAGAACTGGTTTTCTCAGACAGGCAGGGGCTCTTTTCTTAGGCAATCTGCTTTGGGATTTTCTCAATTAATTTTAGTCTTCTTTCTCAATTAATTTTAGTTTCTTTCTCACTTTCTTTCTCTCTTCTCCCCCTCCCTCTCTCTTTCTTTGTGTATGTGATGTATGTGTATAAGTACATGTGTTCACATGTACCATGGTGCAGTATGGACACTTGTTTCCACCTTGTTTGAGATCAGAGTCTCGTTGCCGTTCACTGCTGTGTACACCAGGCTGGCTCACCAGCTTCCAGGAATCTCCTGTCACCATCCTATCTCACTGTAGGAGAACTGGGATTATAGATACACGTTACGTTCAGAGGATTTGAACTTAAGTCCTCAGGTGCTTTACCCACTAGGCCATCTCCACAGTCCCCAGCCTAGATTTTCAACCTCTTCCAAGATGACAGGAAAGGGCCCTTTGAAAACTATTAATTTCCTTCCCACCCATTTTTCTTATATCCCCAAACCCTTACATACATAATTCCAATATGATTCATGACAGAAGCTTATTCCTTATTTTTACTTGCTGCTTCTAAGGTGCTTGTAGAAGGAAAAGAAAGAGGCACATATCCCTGCTGAACACTTTCCAGTTGATTCCTGAGACCTAGAGGGAAAGCCTAGGCCTGGCCTGCTAGCTCTCTCTGATCGTTAGTTGCTGGATTCCAGCCTCCTGGCTTCTTGTAATCTTTGTTGCAATGACTCTCAGGATCTAATGGCATAGGACCACAGTGCTTTTGAACTTCCAGCACCCCTGCCTGGAGAGTAAATGCTCCCAGGTAACTGCACAGCTTGCTCTATCACTCGGTATCTGTTCAAATAGGACCTCCCTAGAGAAGTCCTTTGACCACTGGGTCCCAAATACATGCCCATCAATCTCTATCTGATGCTATTCTTCATAACACTTACCATGCCTGATGTCCTTCCTTCCTTCTTTCTCCTTCTCCTCCCCCCTCCTCTCTCCCTGCCTCTCTTCCTTCATTTCTTTTTCTTTTCTTCCTGTCTTGTATTCCAGTCAAAGGCTGAACACTCCCAAAGCCTGTCACTTTTTCAGTTGTGTTCGCAGCTCTGCCTTCTGCATCTAGATGAGAGCCTAGAATCTAGCAGGCAATGAACACTTGATAAAAGCATGGCTAAATGAACAAAGGCGTGCTGGCACAGAGAAGGGCACACAGACCCCGTTGATAATACAGTGGTGAGCTTTATGCACGCTCGGGCAGTCTGAACACTAATGCTTGACCCGGGCAACATCATGAGAGTGAGAGTTGAGCCCCCACATGCATTGTGTTTTTGGACAAACCCCATCTTGGAAGGTGCTCAAACTGTAATGATGCTGTGAGGACAGTCTAGGTGACAGAGATTAAGCAGAAGAAAGGAGTAGAGGGGCAGGAAACACCTGTCCACTTTAACAGAGACAACACATGCTTTGGGTAAAGTGCCACCTACCTTATTTCTATGAATCAAAATAAAAATCCAGCATATGAAAAGATTATATGCAACCAGAGGTAAGAACAAATGTGTTTAGAAGTTCAGGATGGGTTGAAAAGCAATCTGATCTCCAAGGTGTTAAGACTTGTTTCCCAGAAGGCCAAGGTGTCTTCTGTTTTGACTTCTTTCAAGGAGGCTTGTACTTCCCTCATCACTAGCCCACCTCTCAGGACGCACCACAAAGCAGCAGCTCTGCTCCCCCTTTAGCCCCAGAGTCCAAAGGAGCCTCTTACCTCTGTGTCTGCATCCAGCGCCTTCAGTTCAAACTCTGTGATGGTCTTCCTCACACCCTCCTGCACACGCATGCCCTGGTTCTGCACAAGGGGCAGTGAATCATCCACAGGATGAATCGTGATGTGGAAGGTCTGTATCACCTAGGATGGTAACATGTAGGTGGGTCTCCCGTATTTAGAACCACCCCTTCCTCAGCTCCTGATTCCCCAGCAGCCCCACCACGAGTCCTCTTGGGCTTGAGCCCAGGTAGCCAGCAGGAACTTCTGCCTTGTGGTGACTGAGAAAGAAGAGCATGATGCCCTTGTATCCCCAGTCTGTCTGCCCTTTCTTCTCAAAGATGACAAATAAGAATCGATACCCACTCAAGTATGGGGTCTAGGGCCTCCCCTACCTCATGCACTCCATCAGAAAGCACAAAGCCGAAGGCATCTGAATGCTTCTCTGTCTCACTGGAATGGACATATTGAACACTTCGTGAAGTCAGGTCGGCCTGAGTAAAGGAACTAATCTGGATGCCTAGTGAAAGGGGAAGAGAGAAACAGGAAGGACATCAAAACGAGAGCTATCCCTTGAGGCCACGGAGATGCCAGACTCCACTGCCGAGCCCTTTGCATTTTCCACATAGCATTAATTCTCTGTCCTTGTGTTGCCTGTGGGCTTTTTTCTATAATAGCATTGGTTCTGTGGTAGCACATGCTAAATAGCTCTATTACCAAGGCTTTTACTGTGTGCCATGGAAACAGCAGGTGCTCAATAAATGTTCCTTTCATTTCTTGTGGGATTTATGTGTGAAGGTGAAATTTCTGAAAAGTAAAGCCATTGCCTTATTCTGCAAACCCCAATCTCTTAAATTTTACCTTCCCCAGAACCTCATAGTCATTTCTGAAAATATTTCCTGATTTTCAACATTATGTGATGGGTTCTCTTTGACCACTGCAGTTTAAAGCCTGACTACACACAGCCTGTGAGTGTGGCTGGTGGGTCATTACAGTCTCCATAACTTTACTGAGTATCTTTTAAGGTTCCTTTCAACTCTCAGGTCTGTGATTCCAGTTCCTTGCATGCTCTTCTAACCAGGCAGGAAGTAATAAGATTTACTGCCTGACTTTGGGGTTTTAATAATCATTTGATATCAAACTGAAAGTGACCTAGAAAATAGTATCCTTTAATAACATGATATAGAAAAATTAATCATTTAAAAATATAAAAAATTTAAGCAAATTTAAATAATGATGTTATTCTTCAAATGCACAATATCTGTTTTCAAACCTCCAACATAAATCAAAAATATCCCAGAATCCTTGTTTGCATCTTAGGGCTATAGGGACTTAGACTCAAGTGTCAATCAAGACTGAAACACACAGTGCTTTGCAGTCCTTGTCTGTAATCCCAGCACTTGGGAAGTAGAGGCAGGAACATCAGGAGTTCAAGGTCATCCTCAAATACACAGTAAGTTTGAGATCAGCCTTGGCTACATAAGACCCTGTATCAAAAAGAAAATAAAATATCTTGGAACAAAGGAGTGTAGCTCAGTGGTAGAGCACTTTCCCAGCATGCAGAAGACCTTGCATTTGATCCCCAGCACCATAAGAAAAACAAAATGGGAGAGATGGAGATAAAGTCCTGCCTTTCTGTTTCTGGGCAATGAGATACTGATCCATTTAATCTAACCTTTTACTTTGGCCCTGAAATTCATTTGCTGTCTCCCAGGATTTATTACTTTACACTGTTAATCCTGGTAAGCCAGTTTTGTTTTATAATAAAGGGCTCTACTTTGACTGTTATCTATTTAAACATGATATCAGTATCGCTGGCTTTGTCTTTAAGAAAAAAAAAATCAGCCGACTATCTTTATCATCTAAAATTTGTCACCCAGATGCAACAGCCTCCTGACTACCGGGGCATTAATTTTCTGATGAGGCATTTTATATTTCTGTACTTGCTACATCAGTTCTTGACAGAAGGAAATGCAGCCCCAGTCTCGTAGCTTTGTCTTGTGGCTCTAAAATATCCCAGAATACTTGCTTGCATCTTAGGGCTATAGGGACTTAAACTCAAGTGTCAATCAAGGCTGAAACACACAGTGCTTCACAGTGTGTGCTCTGGACAGAAGTCCACACCATTCCTTAAAAACTGAGTAACTTCAGGGGCTTGAGAGATGGCTCAGAAGGTAAGAGAGCTTGCTATGTATGTATGAGGGCATGAGGACCTAGGTTTGGATCCCCAGCACCCATGTAAGATGCAGGCATGGTGGTACATATCTGTAACTCGAGTGGCAGAGAGCCAAGCAGATCACTAAAAACCACTACCCAACCAGCTTAGCTGAACCTATGAGCTCCAGGTTCAGTGAGAGGCCCTGCGTCAAAAAATAAGGTATAGAGTGATCAAGAAGACAATGATGCTGACCTCTGGCCTACACACATGTACAAGAGCACTGGTATGTACATGTGTGCACACAGGAACAAGCATACACACATACAGGTGCATACACAGGCTTACATATAGACACACACAGGTACACAACACAGAGGCACACAAATGTAGTAACTTTAGATGGGCTGCACAGAGAAATTTGAGTCTCTTTCCCCTACTGTGAATCTATCCTCACTTTCCAGGGAAAAGAGACATCTGGATTCTCCAAGGCAGCTGGCTTACTCCTTTACTTAGCCTGATGATGGTTAATTAAGATTGCACTAATTCCCCCTGAGAATTAGGCTCTGGGCTTTCCGACTGAACTCCCCCTCCCCCTTTGCTTTGTAAGATAGTTTTATTGAGCTAATCTACTGACAATTTTAACATTTTATCGGTAAAACTGGCATACAACAAATCGCACACATTTGAAGTATACCATTTCATAAGCTGCACTTCCCCCCTGAAACTACCTGAATCAATGCAGGGAACATGTCCATGACTCCAAAACTTCAAACTGACGTTTTAAAACCCTTGCATCCCTCCATCCTCCACCCCATCCTCATCTCAAAGAAGTCAATGAATTGATTCTGTTACCACAGTTTAGCTGGCATGTTCTCTACATTTTAATAAATAGAACTGTGTAGTGTGTACTGTTTTGTATTTGTTTTCTTTCACTTAGCCTAATTATTTTGAGGGTTAGGATGCATCAATAATTTGTTTCTGGACCTGGGGAGATGGCTCAGTTGGTAAAAGGCCTGCTGTGCAGGCATGAAGATCTGAGTTTGAATCTCCATGTAAAAGCCAGGCCAGTGACACACATCTGTAACCCCAGCACTGGGGGGTTGGATACAAGTAAATCCCTGGAGATCACTGACCAGACAGCCTCAAGCTGAACTGAAGAACTCCGGGTTCAATGAGAGATCTTACCTCAAAAATAAGGTAGAAAGTGATTGAGTAAGATACCTGATGTCAATCTCTGGCCTCTACTCACCCCCACACAAACAGGTACCTATGTCACCCCTCACAAAATAGCTCATTCATTTCTATTGCTGAGTAGTGAATCATGTGAACATATCCTAATTAGTTTATGTTTGCACCTGCTGATGGGCATTTGGGTTAGTTCTAATTCTGCTTAGAAAAATCTCTAGCAATAGAGTATTTTGGAAAACATGCTAGGAATATGTCTAAGTTTTTAGGAAACTGCCAGACAGTTTTTTTTTCCAAAGTGGTGCCTGTTTCCATTCTTACTAACAGAGTAGAAGAGTTTATTCTTAGTGGGACTTTCCCAATTCAACCTAGCAAACATCAAGAATCTTCCACAGGCAGAAAACTACTCCAGGCTTGTGTAGTGGTGTGGGATTTTACCTTGTAATAGCTCTGAGAGGTTAGGGTGGGCATATTATCTCCATCAAAAAATAAATTATGACATAGAAATAGAATTATTTATATAATTAAAAAGCTATGTAAGTTATTCAAAGTCACATGACTAAAAGAAGACAGCACTAAGACTGGAACGCAAGACAGTCTAGTTCCAAAACTCAGGTCCCCTAGGAGTTCTTTTTGTAAAAGTCATCTAGACTGCTCAGATTTCACCTTTATTCTTTAACTTTTCAGTATAAAATATTACACGACTGCTAGAAAAAAATGTAAAAATCCCAGTAGGAAATAATTACATACATCATTCATATACTTGCCACTGAAATATCAGTATTATATTTTTGAATTGCTCTTCTAAAATACTTTATGGATAAGAGCCTTGTTCTTGTTTGAACTGTTGGTACTGGTGGGGCTAAATGTTATTTAAATGATACCCATGGTTGCCTACCAGAGGATATGAGCTGACCATAGAATAAATGTGAGCTTCAAGATAGCATGGGTTTTCTTGTCTCAACTACTATGCTCCCATAATCGTACCAGCATGTACTCAAACAATGTCTGGTGAATGCACCTGGCTCAGCCACTATCATTTACATCTAGGAGGCTCCACTGAGCAGGTTCTCAATCTCTGTACACCTTTTATTTGTAGCAGTTCAGCCTTGTCTAATTGGATGTTGGAAGAGGCCAGTTGCTTGCTTGTCAGCAAGGTTTTTCTGAACACACAGTCCCCTACTGGCTGTCACAGCAGGTAGCCATCACTTGAAATACTTGAAGGGTTTTAATCCCATTGAAGGTATTTTCAGTCACCAACCTGCTGGTTAAACTATGTATCTGGCAGTATGACAGAGACCCACATTAACCCTGTCAGTTTTTCCAATTCCCCCTGAAAGGCCTGAACATTAGAGAAAGCTTGGTCCAGGTCAGGGAAGTGGGCGGAGGAAAGTCTCACTGAGGAAATTGCCTTCTTAACAGGATATTGGGTGATGCCTGGCTGCCTGCATTCAGCACAGCAGCTGGGGATCCCACCATGTTGCCTGGTTCCCCTGCAGCTGTGCTGGGGGCGCTCTCTACATCCCTACTTCAGAGTTACTCCACTGTGTGTTGATGTGAGTTCAGCTGTATTTCCTCTCTTCAAATTACCTGTTGGAATCTCAACTTTTGATACTGCAGAATGGGTCCTTATCTGGAAACAGGGACCATGCAAGTGCAATCAGATAAACATGAGGCTGTTCAAGTCTATGTGACTGCATAAGAAAAGGAAATTCAGGCACAGATAGACCCTTCCAGGGAAAACAACATGTGGACATAAGGACAGCCATCTGTATGACAAGGAGAGTGGCCTGGGACAAATCCCTCCCTCAACCCTCACAAGGACCAAACCCTATCAACACCTGCACCTTGAACTTCTGATCTCCAAAACTGGGAGAAAAGATGCTTTTGTTGTTTAAACTATCCAGTCTGTGATCCTACTTCACAGCAATCCTGGAACACCAAAAGGCCTCATTCAGGCAGAGTACAAGCCAAAAACAGGTACACTGTGTCACAACCCTGGGACAAGATGGAGTAAAGGGCCTGTCTTTGGCAAAGTGTCACTTCTGAAGATTTCTTGACTAATCCCACCCGCTCACTGAGGATTCCCTGTTGTCTAAGCACTCACTGCCTTCTGTCATGTTGTTGTTACAGCTCTTGAAACACAGAAGTATGTATTTGTCACATGTCCTCCACTT